GGTCTCTTTGGACCTGATGTTGCGCTCTCTTTGGACCTGATGTTGCGCTCTCTTTGGACCTGATGTTGCGCTCTCTGGACCTGATGTTGCGCTCTCTCCTAGACCACCTGGAAGAAAAACGTGCTCATGGTTTTTCTCTCCCCAAAGTCGTCGGGTTGCCATGTCGTTTGATCGTTTAAACATGTTTAAACGACTTCTTCAGGAGACATGTTGTAGCCGGCGCGAAGGGATCAGTTCACACGACATGTTGGATCATAGAAACCTCCGCAGGCTCTTCCAGACTTGTTTGTGGATAACCTCTGTATATATATATATATAATTATACATGTATATGTATTTATATAACTAGATTAATACTTATTTTAATATATGAGGGCCTTCAAAGTGACCTATTGAGATCCCAGAATGAGGTCACTTAGGCTTGTAAAAGGTCACTTAGAGTCTCCAAAGAGGTCACTTTGAAGGTCCTGGTATATTTGCTCTACCCAACCAAACTTTTGTGAATTGGTTTCCCCACTCCAATCCAACAAGTGGACAGCACGGTTCACCATGGTGCATCTTCAGTGTCCAAGGTCAGCCAGTCATCATCATCCCCTTGGAAGATCCCTACTCCGCCAAACTCCTGCTGTTCTTTCTCCATTGCACGAGGCCAAAGAAGCGGCCGGCCAACACCTGCCGCTTGCCGCCTCCAGAACCTCTCCCACCGTGCGGTGTCCTGTGGAATGGTCAAGCGCGCGGGCGGGGGAGTGAAGGGTGGGTAGAAGTATATAGAAGGATATACACTGTGATATACACAGTATTTAGAAAGGATTGGGATGCTTTGTCCATGGTTTGTGGCAGAATGGTTTCGCGACGGATTGGGCAAACCATGCTGGAGTTTTGGCTTCTTCGCACCGCGGTCCTGCTCTTCAACCTTCTTGAGTTCCTGATATGGGCCGAAGGTGACAAAGCTTCTAGTAGACTGATCCCTCCAAGCAGCCCGACACACAAGGATCTCGATGTTTGTTCTTTTAGACTTTGAGCTTTGAACTCGGCCCCCTTTGCCATTGTGTTGGTCAGACGCTCCATTTCTATGGAATATATGAAAATATAATATACGTATATGTTTTAAATGAATATATATATATATATTATTACAATATATTTTGTATATTGTTTGCTGATATACACCTAGGCCTAGAGCCCATTAGACTCATTGGACTCATTGCACCATTTGTTTGGTAGGACAAGACGACCATGAATGTGGTGGCGTGTCCTCCCAAAATAGGAGGTCCACTCCACTCCACTCATGCCAAATAACAACACTTTGCCTTTGTAAACTGTCCACTGGACACTAGACCTGCCTGACCTCATGGAAGTGGAACAGTTCGGCCATGTTCGGCTCCTGCAAGGCCATTCTTGGAACACCAAGCAGCATGTGAACTCCACCAGGTCGAATGGGTTTTCCTTGCAGAGTAGCTATATATTCTTCATGAACCCTGGGAACTGTCTTGATACCTGGTCGCCGGCCTGGCAGGCCACGGTGTATGGAGGGTACGCACGACCCAAAGACTCCGGTGTATGGAATTGATGCCTATACATTTTGGTAGTTCTAGGGGTGCAGATAGGTCCATGTATATCACAAAAATCCATCCATGGAGTGTGCATTTTAAGACCCCCCCAAACCAATTGGTTTTGCCTTTTCGACTGGTCTAAGCTCGTTTTTTTTCGCTTGCCGCACTCCCCCCGAAAAAAGTTGTGAGGAGTTCTGAAACCGCAGGACAACGAGGTCTCCAAGGGTCTCATCCACACCCACATGGAGACCCCATGGTTCTCATCCTGTCGCCATGGCTCTCATCCTGTGTTCCTCTGGACCTCCAGTCATGCGTGTTCCGACTGACCTGTCGTAGGTGAGTGTCGGTGTCGTGGCGAGTGTCATGGAAGTACTTGTGCCAATCGTCGCCTGGTCTGGGCGGATCGGGTGCGTGGGTCGTTTCCTTTGCAGGGTGAATCCCTGGTAGGTCTTTAGTGACTCACTCAGTCTAGAAGTCCATATCAACCACCCAACTGTGGGAGTGGGTGCCACCAGTGACTCAGTGGGTGCTACATGTTGTCTCAATTGTCCCAGGCGCTCTTGGGATTTGGACTAAAATAGTTGCAAACATATGCATGAGACTTTTGTCCCATGAAAAACATCTTGACTCCTCACCCGAATCGCCCATTTTGCTAACTCTTCCAATACCAGGGCCCCTGGGCCAATGGGGTGATTAATGGATACCCCGAATACACCTCTATAAGGAGCTATAATTAGACACACCTGGCCCGGGGGCGGTCCTGGTACATGGATGGTTTTGGGGATCGGTCGAGCTCCGAGCCCGGCGGGGGCGGGCCTCAGACCCATCGAGCGAGTGCCGAGCTCCGCGAGAGCCGAGCTCCCGAGGTCAGCCGCCTCGGCGGTGGCGCCCCGGAAGGCGGGGGACCGCCGTGGGCGGCGGCCCAAGGGGTGCAAAGGTTAGGATGGGATTTGGGGAGGTTGGAGGCCATGGCTATTGGGTTGGAGGCCATTGCTAGTAGATTGATGGGATTGATGGATTAAGGTGACTGAAGCCTGGTGAGCTCGAAGTGTTCTTCTGAGAGGTGTTCTGATTGATTGCTTCTGTGCTTCTTTGTTGTGAGCAGCCAAGTTTGCGGACAACGCCAGGCCATTCGAGAAGCTTGTCCGGCACTTGGCACCATGAAAGACAGACGAAAAATGTGCAGAACCGATGATCGAGTTATTCTGCACTATTTTGAATCCACATGCTATACACTTCCTGGAATCATCACGAAAGTGGACAAAAAACTGTCCCTTATAAGAAGACCATGTTCCTCTATAAATAGCTGGTGCACTCCACTTCCATCATGATTCCAGGGAGGGCATCAGCTACTTCAAGCTTCAGGAAGGTTCAACTTCGTATACACCCCCCAATAGCCATGCACTCCAAGGAGGGTGGGGGGCTGATGGGCCATTGGTTGTTGAACCAGTTGGTCTAATGATCATGTAGAATCTTGATGATTAACAACTGTCCATTCAGATTGAACAACCTTTTTATATTACAGTAATAACAGTTAATTATGTATATCTACGGGGTTGAGCAAAAGTCACGATATGGTAAGACGAGGTTTTACCATCCACAATGGAAAGCTTGAAAACATTTCCATCTGTCCACGATGGATTCCTTCTCCATAATGGAAAGCTTGACCATGGAACATCGGAGAAAGCTTCATGGGGTGACCTTAGGGCCACAGATGTGAGAAACATCAAAGCCTCGATGAAACATATCATTCATGTGTTTTCTTTCAATGTTTATATACATGTGGTATCACACATGATGTGTGTTAATATTTTGAAAAATAAAAAACAAAGCACATCCATTGACAAAGACCTCAGTCATCACCCCCAAAAAGGACGGGTGACCTCCGTTCGCTTGGTGCTCTGAAAAAGGCGGCCGGTGAAACAAACAGTCCAATTTTACACATGAAAACCTTTCATCGGGTGTTTTAAAACCATTGATAGGAAATATGAGGAAATGAACAGCATTCAAAAGCATTGAGGTGTTGGAACCCACATGAAATGCGCCGAAAGCTCCATTTCTCGGCCGAAAGCTCCATTTCTCGACCGGATTCGGTTTGAGGCCTGGCTGCCACCCAGATTTTTGATCCACAGGACAGCCTCACCGCCTTGGAGGAGGGTCCGGGGCCCCGGATCTTCGTCCCGGCGTCATGTTTCTGTGTTTCGCCATGGTATAGATGTTGCAACTCACCTGTGAGTGGGATGGAGTCCATCCCGACGATGGAGCATCGTTTGGGATTGTGCCTTCGTGCCTCGTTTGGTCCCACGATGATCTGAGGCGTGCCATGGAAGTCTGCTGCTCAGAGAGGGAGTGCATACGATGGGTTTGTCCCTAGGACACCTGCAACCGAAAACAAGAGCATCATTTTAGAGATGAAAGGCCTGCCACCTGGCCCCAATGGGGCCCCCCATGGGATATACCCACAGACTAGATGGCACTGGCACCCCAAGATGTTTTTCATATGAAGGTATAAACCACCCAATGTTGGGGGTCACTTGTGCTATCGAACCTTTACAATTGCAATACTCTCTAAATTTGAGTGCAGACAGTGCAGATCTTAGATTCGATCTCAGAAGCACCCGCCGCCTTGCGACTTTGAAGCGGGGGCATGTTGTTGCATTCGGAGTGGCAGGTCGGACCGGTATTTGGTTTTTGCAAATCCCAGCCCTTGGGATTTGGACTATGAAAGGAGGTAAACGATGGTAAACATATCAAGACCTATCCAGTCAGAGGATAACCTTGAACCTTTTTCTTTCAGGGAAACTGAGAGAGTCAAAAGAGTGAGAATGTACACTCTTAAAAATTATCATGTCTACGTGGAGTGAAACACCGCCCCGTTTGGTCTTTGAATCTGCCATCCGAACCCGGGGCCATCCACGAAAAGGCTGTGATGATTTCTAGCGAATGTGTTTTCCCTGGGCCCTAGGGCTCCTGGCCCATCTCCTCAGAAGGTGGTTAGGCCCCCCTGCACCCACCCCAACCACCGAACCTCAGGAGGTGGTTGGAGCCCTATAGGGTTTACACGCCACGGGCTTTACTCGCCATGTGCTGCCGCACTGTTCGGCAGCACTCAGGAATGGTTGCTTTGTCCGTTTGCGAAGGCAGATCGGTCACGAAGCCGTTGGAAGAAGACGTGGGATACCGCGTTGGCATTGAAAGAGTCGGGTGAAAGATGTTTGAAAGACGAGCCGAAAGGAGCTAGACGTGGGGGCCGGTGGTGGAAATTCCTATTATAGCTCATATAGTTTAATGACTTCTAATTGAAACGCCTGGGGATGTTGTTTGTTTTTATCCAGATGGTTCATCGGCCCATTGATGCGAATTCTGTTTATTTCTACATTGGAGTTGCAGTATACCCAGACGCTCCATGGGACTGCCATATATGGCTACATTGGGGTGGTTTCAGGGGTCAATGGGGCGGCATATATGGCAGTCCCATGGAGCGTTTGGGATAGATGAGAAGACGCCAGCTTTTGCGGCGTAGCTTGCATCTCACGCAGGCATGAAAAATGCATCTCAGGGGGACGAGAGCAGCCGGGGAGCCCAGTCCAAGCTCCCTTTGGGATCTTCGGGTTGAAACGTGTGGATGTCGGGGACAAATGCTGCAAAAAGAATTGAAAAGGATGACCGCCATCATGATTTTCCTGGTTCTTCAGACCGTGACCGAGCTTAAGTGACCTGTAAACCAGGTCACTTAAGCTGCTAGCTAGCTTGTAAAAGGTGACTGATAGGTACTCCCAAACAGGTCGCTTTGAAGGTCGCCCGTCACGTTCGGATTCTTCGGATCGTTCGTCCGGATCACCGGTGACGGCGCGTCGATCAGTCGAGACTGGTCGATCGTCGCATGGCTCACCAATCTACAGTTGCCTGGAGTGAACACCAACCTGTTTGATGATCTCACCCAGACGCTCCATGGGACTGCCATATATGGCGATCAGTTGGGGTGGTTTCAGGGGTCAATGGGGCGGCATATATGGCAGTCCCATGGAGCGTTTGGGTCATATGATTTCATCATTGAACAGGCCATGGCGGCCATGGCATCCATGAGCGTACCCCGGGGCCAGGCCCCGGGGTACGCTCCCAGTCGCAGCCGCTCGAGCGGCTACTGTAGCTCTCAAACTTGCGCGCAGTCTTCGGCACGTTTCAGTCGCTGGGGCGCTCATTCACGGGCGCCATTCAAAGCTGGCTCAAAAATCCAAAATGATTGGTTCGATACCAGGAACTCAGCTGTTTTAGTGGCAAACGAAACAACTTGGCGGATTTCCTGGGTCGTATAGTTTACATGTTCCCTCTATCTAAAGAACTCCCACAAATGGATCATGGATGAATGACCACTTGGATTTCAAGTGGATCTTCTTTCAATACATATGCGTTTAAACCGAGCCTGATGAGTTAAAACCAGTTCTGGCTGCCCAAGCCCTGATGTTCGGATCCCAGGCCGCAGGTGATCTACATCTCCGACCGCGTCCTCATCGGCCGCGGCGATGCGTGCGATGCGCGGGCGCCTGGCCCAGTGGCCGTCCGAGTGACCGTGAGCAGTTGCCCAGAATTGGTTTCATGGAAGGTCTATACACAGGAAAACCATCGTTTTTCGGGGTTGAGCCACCAGGGTTTCCTGCAGATAGCAATTCATGCAGAGTGCCTATCTTTGCGGGCAAAGGATAGGATATATATAGCCTATTCTTCCTTTCATAGCTCACAAAGGCCACCGCTGGGGTAGGAATTTGTTTCATGTTTCCTCGTTGGTCTCCAAACTAGCGCCCCTCAAGGGTGTCTATTGCTTTTGCCCCGGAACAGAGGTTTCAGGGCGTCCATCCACCACCACATTGTGGCAGAAGTACCTGGAATCCCACTATACCAGCACCCTCCAAACGGGCCTCCGTTACAAACCATCAAAAACCTAGTTTTCCCTAACAAAAAAACTGGTGTTTGTATTGTGAAACCTTTATTTTTCATGGTTTTGAGTTTTGAGGGCCCCTGGTTGGAGGTTGGGCCCTTCTCAATTGGTGACCTGGCAGGTCTCGGGTGCTGGTATTATAAGGTTACTTCTATTTTCCCTATATGCGTTTCATCCCTTTCCAGGCTTGGCAGGGAATAGGTCATGCTTTTTGTCCGGTTCCAATTCAAGCCAATTCGGTTCATACACCTGGGGTTTGAGTTCCATATGGAACCGGGCTTGGCATGAACCAGAACTGGAAGACTCTATATGTTTTGCACGATGTTCCTTTACAACCCCAGTGGTTTTTTTCGCTTCCACGTGGGGTCCCCTACTTCTTGGGTGATCCAAGAATCCTGTTGCTTCCCGCTGTTCCAGGTGAAACTCGATTCGATGCTCACGCCCATGATGATCTCGTCCCGAACTGAACACCGGTCTGATGAGCTTGGCGATCGGCTTCCGCGGACGCGCTGCTGGGGGGAGCGTCCGCGTGGGGCGAAAAGGACCATGCAACTAACAGCAGCAACACTAATAGCAACAACAAACAGGCTTGGGCATGGCTTGGGCATAGTTCACCAGGAGTCCAAGTAGTTCACATCTGCTCGGGAGATGGAGTCCGGGAAGGTTCGGGAGATGGAGAGGCCCAGGTCACCGGGACCTCTGGCACCGCCGCACTGAGGCGCTCCCATGCACTCGTGTGCCTCTATGGGGACCAATGCTTCATCGAGGCCGAGCATGGGACGTTATCATGCCGAGCTAACATATAGGCCGTTCTACGGAGTTCCACGGATGAGAGTCAATCATGTATATGGCAGATCTATATCCAAAGAAGATCTACATAATTCCATGTAAACTATGGCAGATCTTCATCGTGGTCAATCACAGTCTGTAGACACATGTAGACACTGCGCATGAGTTCTCCCCCAAGTTGCACTGTTGACACAACAGGCAAACAGGAAATCATGCACGACTTCATGGTTGACGCCTGTTCAATTTCTTGAAACGACTTGACACTTGCAGGATGACACAGTTCACCGATATATGAAGTGATCGGGATCGGTGTGTGGTGGTACTCGGATTAGGGGTTAACCAGCTTGTAGAAGTCGTGGTCAAGATGTTGCTAAGGTAAGTGGTTTGTCCCAAATGTCCAAAAACAGCCTGAGGATGCGCCAACTTTTTTATATAGGTATGCACGGTATGCATTAATTAATAGTGGTATGCATATCATGTATTCTGTGGACTCATTCGTCATATATGTTTGTTGTTACCCTGGTTTGTGCTTAGGTGATCTAGGGTCAGGTCATTTTGTGAACCTCCAGAAGCACGGAGGCTGGAGGTTGTCGGTCCCACACACGCACATGTCCATGGTACATCTTCCTCCTGCAGCTCACGCAGCTAAGCTCCCCCCTCCATACCCCGTCACGTGGGATGGGGCCTCCCCAAACGCGAACGGCCAGGATCAGGGCTCCATGAACGGGGTCCACGTGAATGGCCAACGCATCAGCGGCAAGCAGGCCGTGTGGCTGCGAGCGCGAGCGCGCAGACGCGGGGGAGGGGCGAAGGCGCTGCGCGAGCAGCTGCGGGGCGAAGCGAAGGGAAGAGGGATGGCTTTTCAGCACGGCCTCAGGTGGAGGAGTACAAAGCCTATATAGTTCATGGCTCATGATGATGCATGTTGGTAGGTGAGCTTTGATGAGATTAGATAAATAATTTGGACTCTCAGCCACGCACATGAACCAGAATTGGCCCGTGCATGGGCGCGTGGTCTGCGGTTCTTAAAGGAGCTCGCGCCAGCTTGTCGTTGTAGGTGTTCATGGGTAGATAGGCCAGCCTTTATTTGCAATCCTGAGGTCGACACGAGCCACGAGGAAGGGGACAGATTCTCCAGAACGGCTTGGCTTCCTTTCAGCCCTTGATGATCAACCTTGTGGACCGGTGGACCATCCGGCCATTCTCACCCGACCACAGATCAGAATGATTTCTCCATCTAGGACCACCAGTCTAGTGGCAAGACATAGCAACATCTTCTGACCCCCCATGGATCATGGTTAAAATCCTTCAAGAGCTTCTTCCGGCAATCTGTGGCCACCTAGAACTCGTTTTCAGCAGATTATAACTGTGACTCACAAACATGGAAGTGGGAGTTCACCCCCCTGTTCGTGAAGGAAAGCAGTTCTTCCGAACTTGGGACCAGGGACCATGGCATCCATCCACGTTGGCCCATGTGATGTGTGAAGTCAGAGTGTATCACTATGACTCTACCCTAGAAGTCCAGTTCGGTCCTATATTTTGACCGGCTGGAGTGTTCAGGAAGTTCCCAGACTCAGTTCCCTTAGTCAGACCATTCTTTTTATCGTCGAGCTTGACTCCCAGGGTCTACGCCTCTACGCCGGGGGTGCGTTCGGCACCGCCCACTTACCCGGCTCCCAACACCCCTCCCCGGCCGCGGCTCCACGCGTCCACCGGTCCGTCCGGACGCGTCCCCCCGGGACGTCCGCGTGACCGGCGTGGAAAGCGAGTTTCGGCTCAGGAGCTTCAGTCCGGGGATCTGGTGACGTTTGGTGTCCCGTCCTCACAAGCGGAGCAGGGCAGCTCAGGGCAGCGGAGGAGCAGGAGCAGGAGCAGTGCACACTCCGCCTGGTTTGAGAAGTGACAGAAAGCAATGACACAAAAAAAGGATCTAAGAATCTAAGTAGGTCTTCAATCATGGTCTTCACTATACTTTGGTGTAGGGGGTCGCCCTTCTCAATCTTCATTGGAGGAAGACTTCGGCGTTGCATGCTAAAATAGAGCTGCCTAATAGCGTGGGCAGTGGGCAGTGGCTTTTAATCATCCGAGAATGCTTGGTCAAACTATACATGACTCTTTGGCCAAGATCAAGAAAACTTCAAGGATGACTATAAGACTATATATATATACATTTCCCTCGGGGCCATTTTTGGACGTGTTGAGAAGCGTGAGAAGCAGCACATGTTTCAATCGGACCATGCTGGCCGCTTTGGATCGAGTTTACCACAAGAAAGTCCGCCATGGAGCGGATTCGTTGCGGAGCGCTGGCTTTTTCGCGCTCTCGCGTCCACGTTTGATGCGGTGTGTCCTTGGCACACTGGCCCGGCTGGGTGTCCTCAATGCCTGGCTGGTGTCATTGGTGGGAGGGGCGCAGCCACATCATGGACGGTTCCATGTGCTTCCGGATGGATCCTTGGACTGTTGTACTGGTAGACTGTTGAGTCAAAGGCCCCAGACCAAAGAGGTTTGACCACCCATGTTTGGTCCAAAAAGGCCCCATACGAAGGCCCCATGTGGTGGAAAACTCTATGAAGAGGTTTGATTCATCAAAGTTCATAGATATTTTTGACCACATCTCGGGGTCAGCTGCTCCCCGGTCACCTCAAACCTTGCAGAGACCACTGACTGTTGACCGACCAGAAAAAACACATCGTGACAGTGACAGACCTGTTATTTTGTAGTGCAAAAAGGGTGCTTCGGCAATAGCCATTCATTCAATTCAAGGTGGTTGAGCAAGAGAGCGTTCCGAGTCATGATAGCCTTTGAAGCGCACCATCCAGATCATGGGTGGACGGAGAACCAGGCAGTCTTTCCACCGAGTCGAGCGTCGGCAGGGCTTCGACTTGGCCAACAGGTTCGCCAAGTCACAGGCCATGGAGTCCACATGCGTGCGCAGCGTAAACATGAACCACCCGAAGCACACTCCAAGCACTCTTGTTGGTCAGTGGAAAGTGAAAGTCCCAGAATTGGTTTTAAGACGATGTTCAAGGGAACATTTAGATTAGAGGACACCCACAAGTGTAGATGATTTTCCGATCTATAACATAGGGTGTTCAGAAAGAACCGTTTTTTCCGGTGTTCCCGCTGATATCCCAGATATCTATCAGAATCTCCGGTAGACTACCGTCTTCCGGAAGTGGTTTTTTTGGGGGATGTTGGAAGGGCCACCCCCTTCCCAGCAAGGAACCCTTCGCTCGGTCAAGCAGCACTTCTACGCGTCTCTCTTGCGGACTGAAGACCGGCAGTTGGCCGTCGGTGAGGACCTGCCAGCAGGGCTGGAGAATGTCGGATGGCCTGGAGAAGTAAGGGTTTGTTTGTTGTTTTGAATGACTGATTGATTTGATTGATTTGATCTGATTGATTTGATTTATTTTGTTTGTTTTGCTTTTCGTTGTTCCTTGTGCTTTCCCCATTTGTATGTGTTTGTTTTTTCGTTGTGGTCCTATTCTTGGGTGTTGTTTGCTGCAATAAGTGTTATTTCATGTTTTCCCAAGAGTTCCTTCAAGAAGCGTTTTTTTTTTTCATGGTAGGTGTTCCATCACACTCAATGACCACACTGGCGATTCAGTGGATTTCAACATCTACCCGAGTCTACCCTCCGAAAAGATCCCAAACAAGCCCTTAGCATCCGACTCTACCAGCCCCCTTGGAGGGTTGGGAAGGGCCCTGTTGCAGGTCTCAATTGGTGACCTGTAGAGTCGGGTGCTGGCCGTTTGAAGCTTGTTTGCTAATCCCTTCCCCTCACCTAACGACTCGTTGTTCAAGATCACTTGATCAAGGAAGCGGTTTGGTCTCAGGTTTTTCCTCCCTGATTCCGGTCTGCCAGGTCACGAAGTCCATCGATCACATTCAAGGGGAAGTGAACTCAGTTCAAGTGATGAGAGTCAGATTGGATGGAGATGGTGATACCCTGGAGTTGATTAGCAACTTGATTGGTTGGAGAGTGTGCTGGATCATGTGGGGGAGTGATCCAGGATTTGGCCAGCCGCCAGGTGTCCTTTGATGTTCGGTGAGTCAACCACTTTTCGGAGACCTAAACGAGGGGACCGCCATCGAGTCGATGCAGAAAGACAGAGCTGGGTGATGCTGGGTGTGGGTCGTTCGCATCGATTCATGGGTCGAGCTAGGAGGGTCTTGTTTGAATGCCCCCTGAGTCGATATGCCCTAGAAGTCCACTTCGACTATACTTTGACCGGCAGGAGGCAAGGATGTTCCCTGACTCAGTTCCCTTAGTCAGACCATTCTTGTTAGAGTCGACTGGACTCCCAGGGTATGTGAGACCATGGAAGACCCGAGGCCCAGCTCGACCCGAGTCTGGAGGGTTCGGATAAGAGATGGAGCTTGCTCGACCCCAGGTAGACCGGTTGAAACGGCATGCCGTATTACACGTGGCACCGTGCACCACACACCAACCTTGGACTGTTTGGGGCATGGAAGCAGTTTGTAATTGGGGCTACAGAGGAGCACACCGGTTTCTCCAAGAGTTCAAGGTGGACATGTACCAAGGGTGTGTCCATAACCAGATCATATAGATGATCACTATCTTTGGACATGTCGGCCTGTAACGAATCCGTTTCTGTATGTTTTTGTCCTCTACATGGGTCCCCGGAAGCGAACGTTGTCTTCCTCGGAATGCGCATGTTTTGTATCCCCCGTCACATGAGTCCTCTCAGACATCAACCAAAAAACAGACATCAACAGACGGTCCTACTGATGACATTCTTTCATGAAGACGCCTCCCCACACGGCTGCCATGAACAAGCCATGAACCAAAAAACGGCATTCTGCGCGACGCGACGTGGTCTTTACGCATGCGAACGCCGCAGCAAGGCACAGTGGTCTTTACGATGACAGCGACCTGGACCACTCAATGAATGGGAGTTACCCAACCCCTAGGGATCCACTGCCACCTTCTCAGAAGGTGCGACTGGGCCCGACCCAATGAATCCCTAGGGATCCAGTCGTACCTTCTCAGAAGCTGATTGGAGACACTGTTATGTAGGTTTGGAGGGTCCAAGTACCTTCTGAGAAGGACTTGAATCCCTAGGGAATGGGTTAAAGGATGGCTAAAGGGAACATCTGCAGGAACCCATGGTTTTCACCCCCCCAATTTCCTATGGGTGTCCGGAAGTTTTTCCCTTACACCAACTCGTTGAACCACCACTGGCACCACTACCAGAAAGCGAGAAAGACACCGGACATGCATTTGGAACAGCCGTTGATCCCATTGGACCCGACTTCAGTGAATGGCTTGGTGCTGCTTATCCACCTCCACAGGGGTGGTGATGTGGATGTTTTTGACCTCCTACACTCCCGTTTGAAACCAACATGGGAACCGTGGACGGCATGGCTCCGAGTTCGGAAGACCCTGAAATCCGAATACTAAACAGGTGGTAAACTCCACTTCCATGTTAGTTCCAGGGAGAGTACATCCGGTACATCCATTCACCTTAGGTCGCGAGATGTAGTCACTCCAACCTTCGGAGGTTGTTGGATCTGGTGGATGTTGTCCCGATGCGGGTGAGCGGGTGAATGTGTTTTGGCTTCACTACTTCTTCCCGTTTTCAAGTTCGGTGTGCAGCAGTGTCCTGTTGGCTGCAACCAGGTCGATGTCCCGTTTCCCATCGGTTCCGGGCGCAGTTTGCATCGGTTCGGTGGACCCTGAAGAAACCATCTCATCTCTTGAACTGCCATAGGATGTCACCATAGGCCTTGAATTTCTAGGGATCCAGTCGTACCTTCTCAGAAGCTGATTGGAGACACTGTTATGTAGGTGCCAGGAGATTCCAAGTACCTTCTGAAAAGGTACGACTGGATCCCTGGGGATTGAACTCCCACTTCAATCTCACTTCCGCTGCCTTTTTTGCCGAAGAGGTGAGCGTTTGAATGCTGGTGGCCTTCAAAATCCTTAGCGCCATCTATCCGGTTCTCTATTCCCGGCGAGCGCCTTGGGCGAGACTGGCGGTGTCGACCCAACCCTTTCTTCAGACAGAGACTCGTAAGTAGAATTCGTCGGATCTAGAAATAGATGCTCGCAGATAGTAGCAGTCTGCATTAGATTAGATTCAATTGTTTTCGGCCTTTTTGGATAGAACCCGGAAGAGTAGAAGACTACTGAAAGATACTGAAAGTATAAGGATGCTCCCGCGTTGGTGTGTGACGCGTGCTGTCTTTGGTACTTTGGTCATGTTCTATCCAAGTAAGACTTTGCAACAGGACGCCCCTCCCCCCATCGGCCTATGGGTTCAATGTTTGGCCCGATATAGCACGTTTTCGGAATTTGTTTTCTCGTAACTTGCACATGTACTTCCTTCCAAGAGGCAATGCACCCCAAACAAACATCAGCGTAGGTCAAGATTTGTATCCAGTGCATTTGGGAGGGGTGCTTGTCACATTGACATATTGTATCCCCCTAAAAATTCCCCCTACAGATTAGTGCTACCTGGGTACTCCCGAGCACCCATTTTATAGAACTATAGAATTGAGACACTCAGGTTCCTTGATTCTAAAAGGAGACCACGAGATACCACGGGAAGGTTCCGACAAGGGTGCAATTTGACCTAGTTGACCTGGGGGTCGTGATTCTAAAGTGATAGAACTCTGAGATCTATGTTTCCGTGAGCTGTGTACTGGTGACATGGGGACTTTGATTTCTTAGTGGCAGACATGTTGATGGTCATTGACTGATTATGATTCTATAGAGGAACAACCTTTGAGTGCTTTTTTTGTGATAGAATCAGAGTCTTTTGAGCATATAGTATTATAAGGAATCGGTCTGTGAGATGGGGGTTGTGATTCTTTAGTGTTGAAAACTTCATACATACTTTCCGTGAGCTTTCACTTCACGACATAGGGGCTGTGATTCTATAGCGTGCGCATGAGTTGGGGGGCATGATTTTATAGAGACCCCCACATGGGGGGGGTGGATCTATAGTATGAAGTGGTGCTACCCAAGTAGCCATATGAATTTCAAAGGGGATCATATTATATCATAATTTACCATGCTGACAGATCTTTACATTATCACTTAATCATGTTGCTTTGGGGAAGTACCTGGGCCCTCCTGACAACATCCCAATAATTATAGCTATCCTGTATTACATAGAACATGGGAGCATCCAAACCAATAGCAACTGATCCAGTGTTTGGATTGGGACTCTAGAAGTTTGCAAAGACCGGGTCGGACTGGCGAATCCCGCGAGGAAGCTAGATAGATTTGCAGAAGACGTGTGATCGAGCGCCCTGCCTGTCATCCACTTACGGAAACAATGGTCCATTGTTGGTGTGTTTCTATGCACATGCGTATGTTCTGCAAGGGAGTTGATGCAGTTTCCATATGTTGTGTCATGTTACTATATGCCAGCACCCTCACCCTCCGAGAGGTGTCTATAAATAGCCTCTTATATGGTTAAGAGGTGTCCAAAAACCACCTGTTGGAAGGCCCTGGTAGTTGCTTTAAACTGGTTTGAACATTGTTGTTCATATCCTCGCCCTTCCATTCTCAAACACTCCATGTATGCCATATATGCCTACATAGGGGTGGTGCCAGCGGGGTCAATGGGGCGGCATATATGGCAGTCCCATTAGTCGTGTCTGGGATTGTTGACCACTTGTCGACCGATGCCTGACCAATACCGATGCCGACCGATAGGGGGCTTCCTTCCGATGGTTCCCCGGCGCCAGGAGTTGGAACACTTGGGCGTGGGTGAGCATAGTGCTGCTTGGGCGGAGACCTTGAAGAACGTCACCAGCCTTTGGCATCAGCTCAGCCTGGCGTGCTTCTTGAAGGATGCTCAGGGAAGCTTGAGGATGGATGAGGATGCCCTAGGGATCCAAGTACCTTCTCAGAAGGATCAGAAGGTACTTGGACCCTCATAACCTTCTGAGAAGGTACTTGGATCCCTAGGGATGGATGAGGAAGGATGAGGATGAGGGTTTACCCGACGTCCACCGGCATCAATCACCTAAGTACCTGGTTAACGGATTTTTTTCGGATATGATCAGGTGACGTTTCTTCCTCTGATATCATTGAATTTCCCCCGTCTTTGGACACATGTTTCAAGATGCTTCGATGGGCTTCCCCGCTTCAACCTTGCAACCTCCAAGCCTAGCAGTCGGGCCGACGGGCAGACGGAGGGCTTTGGTTTGTGTATACTTGTGTCCGGCTGCTTGGGGAGGCTGGGATCGGAGGACTGGACATGGGTGTGGACAGACAGATCCCCTGACCCAAGCAGTGAGTAGACGGACTGGTCTATTTCCCTTGGGACCACGAACGCGAGCTGGGGAGCCTCGGCATTCTGGACACCCTGAGTCAATGGACCTTCGAGGCTTCGAGAGGGACCGCTTTCCATGGCGAAGGACCTAGCAGTCGACCTGTTTGTTCAGCCCATCACCAGGGCTTAAAGTGCATGCGGTTCGAAGGTGTTTGGGGTGGGTTTGATATGGTTTGATTGAGGAGTTTTAAAACACCTTTCGGAAGCACTTCCTCCGTTCAGGAGGAGCATGTCTTGGAGGTGCAAGGCTTGGATGCCTGGATGCATTTGCAGTTCCAGTGGCTGGCTCTGAGGACGCGATCTGCGACTGTGTGTTTCGAGGCGAAACACATCTTGTCCCGGTGTTTTCAGATATTATGATATGATTATATATGTTAAACCTTTACTTGGAATGATCGAACCCACTGACACTCATATTTCTTAAGTGAGGTGAAACCACCAACCGGTAATGCAGCATTGTAAAGCGTTAATGCACTTCACTGAATATCACTCAATCGTGCTCTTTTCGAGCTCATCCTCGAGCGTTTATGTTGTTGGGTGAACTGCACGACTCCTAAATGGAAGCTTAATTGCCAGGTTGGAGGGCCTTTGTCAACAGCTGCACAGTTTAGGAACTCATTAGAGATTCAAAGTATGTCTCCATTCCTTTCTTTTTGCAGGTGTGGGCGGTATAGAGGGGCTTATATCATATTCATGTCAAAAAGCTTGGCGCGAATCTAACATAGCATGGTGCGACAGTTGGATGTGGGACTTGATTGAAGTGCCTTCAAAATGTGCGATGATTACGATTGCAGAAGGCATTGTATTAATATGCTGGCATGTTCCAAGCAATAGGGAACTCACAAAAACGCGATATACCCTATGGATCCACATACCTGCTGAGAAGGTGATTGGATATTTATGTAAGCTTGGAAGGCCCAAGGACCTTCTTAACAGGTATGTGGATCCCTGGAGACAATTTTTAACAAGGTTCCAAGTTCCAAGACATTGGAAAACTATTGGGGCCTCACGAATCTGACAATGCACTAGCCATGCATTGTAAATGTTGACCATACCTCGTATGAAGATACCCTAGCTTGTGACATCCCACCGCTTCCACGCCCTGCTCGCGAGGATTCTGGCCTTGTTGGCGCTGGTGCCCCTGGCGGTGTGTCCATTGCACTGGACACACGGGGGGAGCCGCGAGGTGTTTTCGAGGCTCAACTTGGCGGTGAGTGACTTGGATCGCAGCAAGAGAGGTAGCCAGTGACCTGATCTATAGGACCCAACTGGATTCGAACCTGGGGTACCCAACTGGGATAGTCTATATAGTTAAGCAGCTAGAATGTTTTACCTAATCTTCAGTACCAGTTGGTGTGATGCCCTGAGGATCTATGTCCGTGGAAAGAGCTTGCAGAACCGACATGGTGAGGTGAGAAGACCTTTGTTGGCGCAACAAAAAGCATGTTGAAACACACCTGCACCACCATCACATTCCATTGGGTGTTCTGGTTGAAGATCACGGCTCCTGGAAGGTCCCTCATCGATTGGAAAAGCAACTCCGAGGTGAGGATCGCTCTTATGTACTTTGGCTCCATGTGGCAGTGGTTTGGGGCGTGATCATGCTCACCACTCGACAGCTTCTTGGACTACGGTGGTGACGACTGGCGATGCGGGTTCTTGCTGTGGTCGTCCTGAATCATTGGTGATGCTGGGTGTGTTGGCGAGGGAACCTAAGTCGCTGGAAGGCCTTTCTCTTTAGGCATTTCTTTAAGCAACATATTTTGTGGGTGTTTGCCTCTTTCGTGCTCTAAACCACCAATATCCACCAATCGCATAGTCATGGAGTTCATAGATTTGGGCCAGAGTTGTGTGAAAGGCTTTCCACACACCGAACCACTTAAAGACATCTAAATCAAAGTAAACCTCCCCCACACCCCCTATAGTTTCTATATTTTTCTCCCAGCACCTCACACCACCTGTCTTGATGGGTGTCTTGGTGGGATTCCCATCACCTCAACAGTCCTCCGAGCCCTCACCACTCACCTTCGCCAGTCCTAGAACTGAGCCCTTGCCCTCGCTAGTCCGCACTTTCCAGGCTGCAGATGGCCATGAAGACCTTTGTGCCTGTGCGCTACCGCTTCCTCAGTGCTATGCGCTTCCCTCAAGCGACCACCGTGCTGGTGGAGGGCCTTCCGGACTCCTTATGCTCCGACCTGCGCGGCTTAGACGGATGGAATGGCGGGTCAGAGGGGTCGGTTGGTAGGCATAGACCTACACATATGTATGACATAGACCTACCTTTATTGTATAGCATCTAATGTAGAAGGAAAACTAGTATATATCATAATCTAACATATATATATATATACAAGGAAGACTGGGGAAAACGCCAACATGGACACAGTGCAAGAGACACAGGCACAGAGTCCCGCGATGTTCGCACTTGGTCCTGGAGAAAAAACTCCTCGAATAGTGCTTTTGTGTGACCGACTCCAGTAAAGTGAGATCAAACTGACCGGTTCGTTAATATTAAGCAAATCCAAGGGAGGGGTGGTTTTGCGAATCCATGTAGCTTTTTTAGCTTGTGGGTAACTCCCCTGTCATGGGGCAATATGTTTGGATCGTTTCCTGGTTTCCTGGGAGCTTTCCAAGACATAGTCGGCATTTGGGGGTAAGGTTTTTGTGCCTTCCGTTGTCCCAAAAGTTGGTCTACCGACGAGAAGCAGGCCCCAATTCACGAACGTTTATGAATTTACAGTACGTTTCAGTCCGGGGAAGCTGGCTTGTTGGCAAACAACATTGTTGGCTTCAGTACCTTGGGAATTGCCTTGGTGTTGTGTGCCCGGATTACCCTCCTGCAGGTCAACATGGGACCCCCCAAACACTGGAATGTAGAGAAAACTGGTCGTCCAAGGGTGAGTTCTCAGCGTTCATGTTACGATACGTTTGCGTTCATGTTACGCACGATTGCACCAACCCGAGGTTTGCACTCCTATTTTTCCAACCTCTTCGGAGAAAATGCGGTGGTCCGCTGCTATGTGGTGCGGAACGCCAAGCTGTTGTCCAAGAAGCTGGATTCTCCTCCAAAAATAAAGAACATGGACACAAATACGTGCAAGTCCCATACCAGCACCATCCAAGCGGTTTCCCATAGACTGCCCATACCCTGCCCACACACTCGGCCTGTAGAGGGAGCCCCGGCACCTCTGGCACGACAAAAGGTAGGATTAGAGTTATTAGATCAGTTGAGGTTTAGCATTTTCTTTGTCAGATCGGTCAGGTGGTGCTTGGTGCAAGACTCTCCTCATTCCCTTTCTCCGGACTCACTCGTTCGAGAAGTGTTTCGTCCCAAAGCACCAACATCTTCAAGTTTGCTCGAAGCCAAGGCTACCACGACTAGAAGGTCTACGTCTTAGGTCTTATCATTTTTTTGGTGTGGATGTTCCTCTATAAACGTATGACCACACTCGTGGCGGTGGGTGAATTCCAAGCCATGTGTACACAGCATGTTTGCCCAGGGCTTCTGGTCTTTTGTATTCTGCGGTGATTCTTCTAGAGTCTCTTATTTCTTCCATTGGGGTGGTTTGAGGGGGCGGAGCCTCGGCTGTGTACGCGGAGTTTGCCTCGTTTGTACACGCGCATAGATTTCCTCGGTTGTGCACGCGCTCCTCGGCGGTGCACGCCGCTTGCTCGGCTGAATGAATGAATGAATGAACGAATGAATGAATGAGTGCATGAATGAGGGACGCTATTAACACCCCCCCCCCCCCCCCCCCCCCCCCCCCCTCCCAACCCAACATCATCAATCAAACGCAGAGCATCTGTGTGACGTGGTACTGTGGAAGCAATGAGCAAAAAGAGATCATCATGACTCAATTTGCAGTGTGCGCAGGTGAGCGAAGTCTGTGTGCGCAGATGAGTTTGAGGTAACATGCACTGTTTAAAGAAGAATGTAATCGATGTGTGCGCAGCTGAGCGAACCCTGTGTGCGCAGGTGAGTTAAATGTAATTATAAAAAAAGGCTGTGTGCGCAGGTGAGGCGAATCCTATGTGCGCAAGTGAGGCGCCATCCGGTTTGAGGGGTCAGTTTATCAGCGTATATTTTTTCCATAGCGATATTAGAGTGCTTGGCATGCGCCATCCCGACCCGCCCGCCGTAGAATCCATAGAATATACGCCAAGTTAGGTATTCCAAAATAGGCCTACATGTCCAGCGATCTTCCACCGATTTTGCTGGAAAACCTACTCGTCTCATGCTTGACCGAGGGGATCGATCTCCGATCGCCGCAGCTGAACCCGACTCGCTGCAGGATCGACTGCGGAAAGCGCAGCGGGCCTTGGAAAGAGCGACCCGAAGCGAAGGGGAGGCCTCGCCTTCCTCTCCCATGGCTTCTTGCAAGCACAGAAGTGATGCGTGGAAGGCTGATGGATGGCTGCAGCCAGGGTTCCGTTGCTCCGCGGCTCATCACTGAAAATCACTGTTCCAGTGGCCAAGACTGCGAAAGGATCTGAAAGAACAGGGCTCCCTCTCATCATTTGGGGCCAATTCTGTAGTTCAGATGCTGTTTGTTGTTCTTGTGGTTTTGGGCCTATGGCCTATGCCCTGCCGGGGTTGCAGTTCATGTGTGGCTGCCTGGCTCTCATGGTCGCCCCTGGGTTGAGTGAAGCAGGCAGCGAAGTTCGGCAAAGCTGGCTTTGGAAGAGTTGGAGGGAGGGTATGCCTTGAATTCCCGTCAGCTTTCAAGCGTACCAGGCTATGCCATCGTTGACCACTGAGAGTCGAGAGAAAGAAAGAGAGAGAGAGAGAGAGAGAGAGACAACCACCAACCAACCAACCAACCAACCAACCAACCAACCAACAAATATCCCGCTTTCAATGACAGGCCGTTAGGATTCCTTGTCCACCATTGATTTGTAATGGGTTGAACAACCATTTTTTAGACAACAAAATCAGGTCCAACCATTTGTTCAATTCTAGAATGGTTTTGAAAGGCCAGGGTATGGTCATAAAATGTCGTAAATTGGGTATATAAATGTCAATGTAACTCTTCCACACATGGATTGTTTGAAGGGGAGGCCCAGCAAATCTACGATCTTTACGATGTTTGTTGGGTTGGAGGCCAGATCTCTCCCATTAATGGTGCGACATTGAGTGCGAGTCCTCTTGGGTGTGGGGGTGCTTGATTCACGAAGGTCATTTGGAAACAGATGGTGCCCCCTCTTGAAGACAAAGTGTCACTCCTCACTCACGGTGAGATGTCAGCCCGACAATTTATAGCCTTGCGTGCCACTTTTTGGTGGGCCTATTGTTGAAGGGAAAATTATCCTGCCGAAACTGTTGTAGAGTTCATGGCACTGGCACCCAAAGATTTCTTTTAGAAGGGGTCCATTTAAAAAAATGGTCACTCGTGTCATCGAACCTCTGATGGCCCACGCGTCATTCTTTCCTCCTTGCAATGATCGAAACCACGGAGAGGAGCTCCCTTGGTTGCTCTTGCAGGTTTCAGGAGCTCCTTGAAACCTGCAGGAACTCTCTGAAACCACCTTCGCAACCGTTCGGGCTTGGTGGTTTCCAAGTGTTTCTTTGCCCTTTGTGAGTCTCTTCGGGCATAAGTCGATCCATCGAGATCCCCTAGCAAGGCGACACTCCAAATATATTTAAAAGACCAGGGAGTGGGGTGAAAACGGGCCTCAATTGTAGTCATACAATGTCATTCATGGAGACCGTGGAGATCCCTGGGCTTTTGCTTTATTTTCGCTATCATGTTCTAAGTCCCTGTGGATGAGTCCCCTTCATTGAGGGGACGGTTCCTGGACTCCGCGAAACTCCCAGCAGATATATACGTGGTCTTTCGATCTTTGGAGCACGGAATTGGTTTAAGGAAGACTCGGAAAGCCATGGTGTTAGGGGTTGAGCCACACAAGGATTGTCTGCAGATTTCCCCGGCACCAGGTGCAATTCCGCCTCGAAGCGCTGAAGGATATCACGGAGGAAGTGGCTGCGGAGCGCATACGCCTGGGGCGCTTGTCTCATGCCTTGGATCCAGATGTGTGCACCAGCACTGGCTTTGCGACCTGCTTGAGCTGGTATGACCTGGTGGTTTTGATAGAAGGACGCAGTGTGGTCTTACGACTGGGCAAGTAGTCCCTTGAGGACCCTTGAGAAGGCTTGACTGAAGGCCCAGTGGCAGAAGGACCCGGTGAAGAAGGAGCATTTCAGCTTGTTGGTCGAGCATGAATCAGGCAAATTCACAACTCCCCAATGGCATTAATTCGTGTTTTCTCACACCACCTGAAAAATTGGATGGAATACATAGCAATCAGGCGACCTTCAGCACGCTGTAACGAGGTGACCTTCAGCACGCGCTTGGACATGCGCCTGGCCGCCCGGGAGCAGTTGGGTACGGAGTCCTTCGCACTGCAGCTGCAAGCGGCTCCCGATGTGGAGGATGTGAACTACGAGAGCCTCCTGGTCCGACCCAGCTTCACACAGTCGCTTGGTGCAAGTGATCCAGTGAGCCTATGTAATATATATATATATACAATTATATACATATATAGTTAGTGCCCTTGATGATATTGAAAGCTGGAGCATCAAAAGAATGGGAGGCACCACGTGGTTTTCCGGATGGTTTACTTGGTAAAGATTGAGGAAGCTGAAGTCTTTTTGGTGCAGGGATTTGTGAGGTTGCTGTGACGGTTTTGACCCTGCGTTCTCCAAGTCCAAGCAATTTTTTGCAACCAGGTGGAGAACGGTTTCATGAATTTTCTTGTGGTTGGTTTTTCTTCACACCCCTATAGACTTCCAAGAGCATTAAAGAGAGGTTGACCTTTGAGTGGACGCGTTGGTTGTGTAGTCTCAAATGCTTAGTAAAAATGGTTCTTCGGTAAAGCTCAATAAATAGATGGCGGGCCGTGGGCCAAGGAATCCCAGGGCGCATGTTTGGTGATTTGACACGGTTCTTGGGCCGGTGGAAGCGATCAGACTCTGTTAGAACAAAGTCTCACTATCCAAGAGAGGTTCAGAGACTTTATGGGACCCTATGTGGGGTAGTCTATAGGGTAACCTCTCTAGGACTTGCGTGCGCGTTTGGCACGTATTTATACTGCATTGGGGTTGTCTCAGGGGTCAAAAAAAACTATATATATATATTTATATACACAGAAAACAGCTCTAGGTAGATCATGGGTGTGTATATATATATATATATATGTATACACACCAGGACCTGGATCTTCCAACTATGCAATTTTTTGCCGAACTGGGCTGTTATTGATGCATGAAAAGGCAAAGACATGATCACAGGCAGGTCAGATCCAGGTATATGTGTAGAGCGTATATACATATATATAGCTTGTTGTGTGTTTGAAGTGTGTTCCAGATGTGTTTTCGGAGTGTCGCGAGCCCGGGGGATATCCAGTTCTTCCCCAGCTACCACGGGAGCCGGAACTCGGGAAGCGACCGAGCCGGGATCCGACAGCTAGAACCCTAAACCATCCTAAACCCTAAAGATCCCTAAAGCCTAAACCCTATACCCAAAAGCCCTAAACCCTAAACCTTGTCTTAGCGAACTGCTGGCCGCGAACTCGGGGAGAGTTCCGCAGGCAGCGTTTGGGGTACTTGAGCGTCTTCAGCGTCTTTGTGGCCTTTCTGCCGGCGGTGGTCTTCTTGTCAACGTTGATGAGCCTGACGCTGGGATCTGAAGACACAACTGAACAAGCTTCCGTGGATGGCATCGGCAACCAGATGCCTAAGACACGTAAGTCGATGCCTATTCTATCCTGCCTACTTTATCCTAATTATCATTTGGCTGACTAACTGGAATGGGATAAGATTTGCCGCTTTGCAGAGGAACATTGTTTTTTAAGCAGTTTTATATTCATTGTAGTATACGTATAAGGTTTTGGTTTCATCGACGTTGCAGCATTTGTAATGACCGTTTTGGCCCTTTGTCATCCTTGGGCTTTCCCAATGTGTTTGTTTGCGGTACCTGTTGCAATTATACCTGGATCTGAGAACAATTTAAATCCACCGACATGTTAATGTTGTTGCCGGAGGCAATTTCCAGAACAGTCACCAAGAACAAAAACCAACACTTGCCATTTCAAGGGTTGCAAAACAGGTGCTCAAAATCCATGGGAGCGACACCCAAAGGCCCCGTTTGGACACCAAGATCCATGGTGCTCAAGATGCCGTTTGGACACCCAAAGGCTCCGTTTGGAGGCCAAAAGGCACCATTTCCTTTCCTTTTGGCTTCTCACCTTGTCACTTGTCACCATGATATTCACTGTTTTCGGTCTGGTCACGGCAAGCGATGCCGTCTTTGGGAAGACATCATGAAGCCATGTTTTCTGACAATGCAATTATACTAGAGCTTCCCCGGAGATTGTGTCATGTTGTTCATTTCGCTCCCCTTTCATGCTCAATCCGTCCCAAGGAATGCCTGTCAGCTGTACTTCCCCCTGTATACGAGGGACGCTTCCCCCTGCGCCAGACATCGTCGACCGATTTCAATCATATACCAACTCCCGACCCTGAAGACAGACTGACCGGCCTTTGTCCCAAGCCTTGGAAGCGCCCATGTTGCAAAACTTTGTGCGCCCAACACTGCTTTGCGACACAAAACAACAGAATCATGCCATTATTTCTTTTGCCGCCGCCCATGCCTACCACGCAGTGTTCGCAGCGGGCGCCGTCCGTCCGCGTGCGCCGCCAGGAAGTCCTGGGAGCAGATCTTCCCAGTGATCCAACGCTGGCGGCGCGTGGTGCCCATCGTCATGGAGATGTTGGAAGGCGCCGGGGAGCGGACGACAGGTCGAGGGACGGCTAGGTCGGGTCGGTCGTGTGGTCTGTCGAAATGCGCCGCGGGTGAGGCGTGGAAAAGGGCGCGGGGTTGAGCAGGAGAACACCGCCCAGTCACTTAAAGTAGCTGGTGAGGTTTAAACAGCGCCCAGTGACCAACATAGCTTGCTTCATATCTCTTAGTGAGGGGAGTATTCGGTGGTTTGATGAACCCTGGAACACTGACGCTGCTACATCGTTCTTCTTCGGTCGTGTGGTCTACTGGATGCGTCGCCTTTCATCGTTCGCCGGCGTTTTTCCCGCCATGGACCGCTCAAAGCAACCAGGACAGATGGCAAGGTATCGAGTGGCAAGGTATTAAGCGCAAGGTGAACTTGTTTAGTTTAGCCCTAGTTCAGCTGTTTGGGGTTTGCAATCGGTGCTGGAAAAGAGGTTTGCAAGTTTTGCTAGCTCACATTTGATGCATTGTACGGGCCTTAGAACCAAACATGTGAAAAAGGAGGGGCTGGTCGACTCCTGGTGTTTGGATGTGCTTTCAGTTCTCGCCCGGTTGCCAGGCAGAAGATTCATGACCCAGACGCCACCTGTTTGGGACTGCCATATATGGCGATGAAGTTGGGGTGGTTGACCTGGGGTCAATGGATGTCAATGGGGCGGCAGTCCTATGGCAGTCCCATTCGGTCGCGTCTAGGTGATGAAAACGGGTTTTTGGACCCCTGCGACTCGTCGCCCAGATCCAGCACGAGTCGCGACTCGTCATCCCTTCGACGAGTGGGACATAGACCCTGGGAGCCGAGTCCTGAGACGATGAAGAGAGGTAGCCAGTGACCGGGACCATAGGACCCTAGGGCTCCTGGCCCACCTTCTCAGAAGGTAGTTAGACCCCTCTGGCACCCACCCCAAGCACCGAACCTCAGGAGGTGGGCCAGGAGCCCTAGGGGTGGACCCGGTAGCTACCTGGGGTACCTGTGGGATCACTGGGCGCAAGCACGTGAGACCCACGAATCATGACGCCGGACCGACCGGACGGTCCGAACGAGTCCGAACGAGTCCCGCTGGACCAGCCGTGCCGTGGCACCGCAGGCGTACTGGCCACACTGAGCTTGAAACTGATGTTGGCCTTCATCCCTGCGACTCCTGGCAAGGCATGGGTCAAAGCTGGGAATTTCAGGTGAACGTTGAGGACCGAGCCTAGCGGCCGAGCGAGGCAGACGTAGTGGCAGACGTGACATGGGCTTGATGTTACGGTGCTTGAGCCACACGGGTTCCAGTTCATTGAAGTTCCCCTTCAGCACCTGCTAGACGTTTGCACGTTTGTCATGCAGAGTCCTCAAATCAAAAAAAGACGACCTGTCCTGGTTTTTACTGATAAGGTGATGTATTATTATGTTCACGATATTTGGTGTTTAGTCAGCATTCCTTGAGCAAATCCAGGCTATGGTCGAGAGACGAGAGGCTTGCAGAGTTTGAGACCAATCTGAGCCCTGTGGTCAGCTTTCATCCGTTTTCCCGGCCGGCCAAATCTGAGGATTCTCCTGAAGTTGGTTCGATCATTTTGGAAGCCGGTATCGAAATCCTCCGCACAGCTGCAGCTGCAGAAGACTTACTTTGCTTTCTTGGTGATCTTTGTTCTATTGGTCACCTCCTTCGCACAAGGATTCCTGGGCTTGGTTTTCGGGCAAATGATTTTTTGTTTCCCAGATGGAGTTTTGTTCTTGCATCAGATGGACACTGAACATCTTTGGTGCATTTGGGCGCAAAAGAACTTGGCAAAGTGAAAGGGTGTCCTTTCAGGTTCCTGAGAGTTTTACACTCCAACTTGAACTCCTCACTTCTAGGTCTGGGCCTGATGACCCTATATATAGATTAATTAAACGTGTGTTATCACGTATAATCTCTCTATAATTATATACATATAGATCATCATATATCCATATATCCATATGTGTGTGTGTAATCCCGTCCTCCTAATAATAAACACGGCCCCCCCCCCCCTATTAAAAAAACCTCGGTCGCATTTTTTCTAATAGGGGGTCCCTGAAATCGGGGGGGCCCAAAATAGGGTCACCTGGAAACAGTTTCAAAACCAAAAAGTAATCCAGGAAAATTTTATATAAAATCCTTTATTAAACTCATATCAAAAATGCAAAAAACCGCCAGATCGAAGGGTCTTCCTTTTCCCCTACAAAAACCTTCATTAGAATAGTGATTCTTCAGTAGACTAACAGCTAAAGCTTTCGAAAGGTGATGTCGCTGTGCCATGCGGTGTTGCATGACCTGCAAGTGCGTTTGCGTGAGTCCGTGCCATTGAGGGAAGGAAAGCCTGCTGGTGTAAGCGCGGCGTGTCATGGTGGAGTTTTGGGGAACCTAATTTAAAAAAAAACTACCACCAAAATCGACCATGTTGGTAGTTTAGTAGCGGTTTGAAAGGGCGGCAATTTAAAACCAAATATAAACCGAATTTAGGGGTTCGGACGTGGTGTTTTTTTAATTGGGGAGTGTTTATTAATAGGTACTCGGGATTATACTATAGGCTGTGGAGTTGGATGTGGTTTTTGGCCGCTGCTCCTCGGTCTCATCCCCAGCCCCCCAAGGATTGATCACCACCTTGTTATATGTGGCACAGCAGCCCACTGCGATCATCCCGCTTTTGGCCAAGTCCTTGCCCTTGACCTCCAGGTGCGGTGTTTGCGGAGTTGTTCTCGATGAAAAGAAGAGAGGTGGACGTTGAAACCACATGAAAATGGACAACACGGACAACACCACGACGTGGTACCCAGTGCTGTTTGGATTCGAGGGTGAACATCTTTTGCACAAAATTTTGCACACCCCGCTCGATCCTTTTTTGGGCGTTTCTCCCAAGGAGAGCAACATGTGTTGGAACTGTTTTTGTTCTTTGCGTTTGTGGTGGATGCAGTTGAGGCATGTTACCTGGGTAATCAAGAATAGGGAACAGGCTGGGTCCCAGTATCTACTGCACTCTTTCGATCAACTACCTGCCTTACCTGCCCAGGTTCTACGTGAACTACATCGTGCTCGGCTGGGTGTCCTGCTTCTGCGAGCTCCTTCGCCCAGCGCCACTAGTGACCCGCACCGATCGGGGTGAGGTCTGAGGCTTCCGGACATCCCTGACAGCATGGGGAATCCCTACACTCCGATGAACACATCACATGGGAACCCTGGATGGCACACCCTTGGTCCTTGCTTTGTAAGACGGAGTCTTCCGGACACACCGATGACCATGCCATGCCACGGTTTTTTATGTGAGTGAGGCGGAAGTGTAGTTTCGTTGGATGTTACGTCCGGGTTCCTGGAGCCCCACTTTTGCCATCAAGGTGTATTAAGCCTTTCCCACCTGTATCAATTCGTTGGGGCTACGTGTTCATGGGGAACCAACATACATCCCCAGAAGGTTCCGGCGAATCTGCGAATGGACCTCATGAGAGATGGATTGTCATCACCCCCAACTCATTCACCTCTCATTCACCTCAGCTGACTCTTTTGGATACCCAAAAATGTGGCGTGGTAAGGATGAGGTAGTTATATAGTGCCTATGTTCTTTCTGTGAATGCCTCGTTTCTCAGGAGATTCTGAGAACTGGGTCAATTTCCAATGATTCCATGTGATCCACATGTCAACACCTTATTTCCTTTCGCTTGAAAAAGTTGCGAAAGTTGTTCCGTTGCCTAGCCTAACCCTTTTCACAACCCATGGGACTGGAACATCACCTACATTCACCCGACTTCAACCACCCCAATTGATCGGTAAATACGGTAAATGTCTCAGACAGGTCGTGTTTGAGTAATAAGGTGATGTACTTGAGCCTGCACGAGTTCTTCTCGGAGCAGGACGCACTGGCACGTGCAGAGGAAGACTCGGTGATGATGGGCACGCGAGTGGCACGCCACTGGGCGTGGTTTCTCATGGTATCGTTTTTGATGGCTCTCCGAACTCCGAACCAACTGCAACAAGTAACTAGTTCTGGACCATTAATTACTTGGGAATACTTAGAGACTTCGATGTTGGACATGCCAAGAAAACAACTAAAGACAAGTGGGGATTTCTCAAGACTGGCAGTCTTCCTCAGACTGCCCAAATGATCCAAACTCTTAGCCCTTTCCCTTCATCCATGTTTGTCAAGACATGCTCGATTCACCGGTGTGGTTCCTGGAGCCACGCGCCGTTCCGTTCCTCTTCGGAGTGTCGACGGTCAGACGGTCAGACGGTCGGACGGTCGGAAGTCTACGAGGTGTGGATCACCTGCCAGTCACCTTTCTTGCACGATTGCTTTGGTCATTCATTGGCCCGCCAAACAAATGCGCCAGCTGAACTGATCCTCCACTCGCAGCCGAGGATCGACCTTCATGTTGGTGATCGCACTGGCTCCGATCTGGATGATCGGTCGGACCCTCCAAGAAGTCAAAGGAATCCGGGAAAGAACTGGATGTGCCTTAAGAATCATTGGACCCTCCTATGGAGGGTTTTGACCCTGCAGAACGCAGGGGTTTGGACCCTCAAAACCTTCACCTTTGAGGGTCCTTGATTCTTAGGGTGAGCGGAAATACGATCGCCTCTGCAAAACCCACCAGCTCCGCCAGTTCGGATCTAACAAATTCCTTCTTGGAGGGTCCTGGACAGTTTTTTCTGTTATTTTTTTCCGGTGGTTTCAGAGTAGATGGCACGGGGCACCCAAGATAGACCTTAGATGGGGGTCCATATAAACCACGCCACGTGGGGATTGTGCCATCTTATCAATCCATGTTTTGTATCATGTTGTTTTTGCATTTCTTCGTTGTGGGTGTTCGTTTGAAACCTTCTGGCTGGGGCAATTTTTGGGGTTCCAGAACGTGGAGAAAGTGGTGAGACCAAAGCACCAATCTAGGTCTTTTGCTCCATTTGCCCTTTGGTTCTCTTGGTGGCAGCTGTGCGCCCAGGAATGCAAAAACGTGTTGTTGCCCTTTGGTTTAGGAGATGGCTTGACCCACGTTTCGTATGGAGAATTTGCCTGCCTGCCGCACCTGGATGTGGATTCTTTTCGGTTGGAGCATGGGAGAGGCAAACTTGTGACAAAGGAAACAACTCGATTGCGGAAAGCCTTTGAACTTTGATCATCTTTGATCTGCCAGCAGAATTGTGGCGAAGATTTGCGAGGAAGAAACGCAACAGATAAATTTGGATACCATGTTATTTCAGGGCAACATGGATTGATACATCGAATACATTAGGCACACTCTGGATGCATATCGCCTTGCAACATTGCAATACACTCTCCAGTTGTCCGCTTCAGCGCCTTAGCCCAGCATGTTCAACACATACAGGTTCTTTGGTTTACCCAAAAGGCGGACCCTCAGTTCGGCCAGGGGCCTTTGACCCTCACTTCGCCAGGGTGAACTGGACCTGAAGACATGTAGCAGTTGGTTCGGGTCCATGGGCCTTGGGGAAACAACCATATACCAAGAGAGGTTAAGTGACCTTATAGGACCCTACTGGGGTACCTATGGGATACTATAGGGGTCCTTCAACCTCAATCATTCTGTTTGATGGTCGAACGGGTGGCGTTGCCGGGCGGAATATGTTTTTTGCCAACCGCGCCGTGGCATAAACAAGTCACATCACACCGAAGGAGCTCTTTCGTCCTTCCCAAGCTCCCCCAGGCAAGAAGGTGAAGACCCCCTGACTTTGTCCCTCCAATAACCACCCTTTCCGTGGTATTTGTAGTTTCGTTGTGCCTCCGTTTGGGCCTGCTTGCCCACAGTTAATGAACGACCTGCTTGCCCATGGAGAGAGAGAGAGAGAGAACGAACTCCTTTCGGATTCTTCAAAATGGTCCTTGGGAATAGTGTCCGTGAACATGTTGACTCACGTCTCCTTGGGTTTGATTGGATGTGACTGGACCCCCAAGAGGAATGTGACTGGAGCCCCAAGACGAAAAACAAGCATCTCTCAGTAATGATTTGGCTGAATGCAGGTGGACAACGGAGTCAACTCGGCAGTGGGAGTCAAATCATCTGAGTTGCATGTTTTTTGAACCGCATGTTTGGAGCATAGCTGTTGCGAGCGGGACGGCGGGACGCCGGCAAGATCCAGTTCTTCCCCAGCTCAACCAGGTATAGCCGTTCACTCGGAACGAGGAAGTTGCAAGGGGTCACAAAGGGGTGGTGTTTACGTAGTCCCAAATGCGAGTGGATGTGACTGGGGCACCTGCACTCCTTCCTCCGTTCGTTGGGCACCCCGAGCGACCGGTGAATGCTGGTGAGGTACTTCTTGGTGGAACGCCTTTCACACGGCTATTTGATGCTCTCCGCGGAGCCGCGCGCGGGGGATTCCGGGGGCGAGCTCTTCGTCCAAGCGCTCAAGCAGATCCATACGGGGCTTCTCATTTATGTGCCTCGGACGACGACCAGTCAGGCCAAGGTCGCTCGGTCTTGATGCCGCTGCTGTACAGCAATGTATGTCCCCTAGGGCTCCAGTCGTACCTCCCCCAAAAGATATGACGGGACCCGAACATGGCACCCACCCCAGTCCCACCGTCTCGAAACGAAGGTTGGAGCCGCGGAGCCCTAGGGTGTAGCACTTGGATCTCATGACCTCCACTTGCCGCAACCTACCCCCCCACTTGTTTTAGTGTAAATGACCGCAGTGGGGTGCCGGACCTCCGATGCTTCGTCGGGACACACCGGCATGCTCCCAATCCTAACCCTCAAATGCCACAGACCATCTTGACTCTTGACACTAAATGAAATCATCATAGAAGTGGGAAATGGCACTTTAGACGGCCAGAAGTGGGATCTAAATGATGGTTTTCCACTTCCTTCATGACCCGGAGAGTTCTTCTTTGGCTTTGGATCCCACCCCCACAGAGACCATCACTTGGGATTTCAGTCAGCTTTAGGATTCAGGAGCAACACCAAGAATTCCTTTCCTGGAAGTTATACCAAAGCCAGGGGTGCAGGTGATTCGACTTCGGACCCTCGTTTCGGCCGGAGCTCGGCAGTTTTTTCATCCACTTCAGCCTGGGAATTCTGCATGCGAAGTGTCGAGACCTTGGGCCAATGCCCAGGTGCTCTTGATGATTGGAGTTTTGAGCCCAAGGGGCTGGCAGTTCGGCGTGCTGTTGACGCCGAACCTCTTCCTGGTGATGTGGTCTGTCCTGCTCCTTGGAGTCTTCGGGGATCTTGGTCCTGGAAGGGTCCGGACCATTGACCCAGTGGGCCGGGGCGTCTCCCTATTGAAATACACGCGCCCAGTTGGGTTCAGCTCGATTCTGCTCTTGAAAGCTATAGGGAAGTGGGATGAAGTGGGGCGATGGGCCCTTTTTTGCAAGGGGCTCGAAGTCAAGCGCGCAAGTTCAATTTGTTACAGTGGTTTCAGAGTAGATGGCACCATCCCCCAAAGGTTTATAGAGACCCCCATCTAAGAGACATTAATCGGTTTGTGCAATCTGCTAGCTCTGAAACCAACTCTATATATAACATATGATGTTTGTTTTGATGCCTTTGGATACCATTGACCCATATACATTTGTCAATTTTCAGACGACGGATGCTGTTGGGAGTGGCAGACTGGGCGCTTGCTTTTTACTGAGCCACATTGACATGTTTGATTGACGCATATGTTTGACCGGGTTGTTTCTCAAGTGACAAACTCGTAACCTGTGTCTTTTGGAGCTCCTTGAGGGGCACTTGGAGGAACCTGGAAGATAGAAGAAGTGTGATTGTAAAGACATGTTGGTTCCCATGTTCGGACATGTGCTTTCAGTTTGGAATATCGATGCGCTTTAGTTATATACCTCAATGTCCCACAATTAATGCAATTGATTCACAACATGTGTCCCAACATGTTCAATGAAGATCATGGGCCTCGCACCAGTAGTGCATACACAGGATTAAGTAACCTCCCCTGCTAATCAAGCCCAGCTCGAGCCCCCAATATTCAACTAATTTAAAACCTGAATTCCACATGTCCATCACCCTAATAAACAGTTTCCTTGGCAGAAACCTCCCCCTATTAATCAAGCCCAGCTGAACAATTGAAAACAAGTTTAATACTATACTTATTAGGTATTTATGTTCTTTTTAGTCAGCATCCAATATCTTCTGGTCAGCATCCCTTGTTCCACAATCCCCAGAAACTCTCTAGCAAAATTACTAATTTTCCAGTATTGCAATGTATTAAAACACATATATCAAAAGGTGTTCAAGCCCCCTGTGTAAGGCCTTCATGGCTCACACAGAATCCTATCAATCATAATCCATCATCAGGTCATCACCTTTATTAGGGGGATTTGGTCTCCAACACCTCCAATCTCAAATCTTGTTGACCTTGAAGGGCGGGCCGTTGATTAATCCGGTGTTGGCATTAGTTGGCAACGTCGCAGTAATATGACACGTTTCCTAAACCATATAGTATACTTTAGTTTTTAAGTTTCCCAAGCGAGAATGATGGATGCCCGAATCACCATAGGATCGTCCACATGTTTATCCGAGGAGCCTGGACAGCTACCTGTGGCCGTGCTTGCCCTTGGACCAAGTGATGAACTTGGATGACAACGACCCCTGCAGTGAGCATCGGGCAGAGCTCGTGTATGAACAGCTGGAGTGTCGAGAAGAACAACGGGTCCCGCAGATTGCTTCTGGGCTTCCAGATCGGGCGGGAGGCGCATGGATGGCTTATTAACATCTATTTATGTACTACAGTGCTTGAGGAAAAAGAGGGGGGACCCTCAAGTAAACAACTAACAACCAATTGTTTTGTGGTACCAGGCCCTCATCCGACTCTAGTAACTCTAGTATTCCCAACAGGACCTCACTGGTTTGCCGGCCCAGTGCCTGTCGTTCGATCGACAGTAACTTCAGAATGCTTTGATTTCCATCAAGTGTGAGAGTTTGCGTGCCTCAAAATGGAGAGACCTTGGTTGTCAATATCATCCTTCATCCTTTACCAGTTTTTCTGGGCTCAATCCATCATTAGGCACACCGGTAAATCCGCTAGTCAACGGCCTGGTATGGATCACATGTGCAGCCCCTTTACCATGTGCCACGGATCATTGTTCAAGTCTTCAGGACAATCGTACGAGGTCACGGTAGATACCCCAAAGTTTCCAGTGTAACGCGCACCGATTGCAATGATTTGCCTCTCAGGTGGTGTCCCGTGCCTCCCTCGCCACCTCAACCGCAGCACCCACAGCACCTGCAGCATCTGCAGCACCTCCGCCACCTGCGGCACCTGCGGCACGTGCGGCACCTGCGGCAGAACCGGCGACCACACCGGTGCCGCCTTCGCGCGGGGCAAGCTCCAAGCCACCGGAGGAGACTGGCACTTCAGTGCTCTCAGCTGCAGTGGACATGTTCGTGGACCAGGATGAATTCTTGAGCTCAAAGTTGGGGATTGTCCCATTGCCTGCAACAGTCAGCACTCACGTCAATGAGCACCAAGATGTATCGATTTATAATGATTTATAGATCGAGCATATGTATAGAGAAAGACCTGGAAGCTAACCATCATCCACTGTTGCATGGTCATGGGAGAACTTCGAGTCTCCCCATATATACGAGCCCTGTTGTTGTTGTTGCTCAGGCCGTCGGCCTTGCACACGGGACGGTGCGGCCGTGGGTCCCCTTGTTTCGTGGGAAGGCTTTTCAGTGCTCCAAAAGGGATCAAACTATAGAAGTTGGTACTGTAGCCTCCCTGAAACCATCAGATGAAAGTGGAAAACGATCGGTTTTGATAGAGGAAAAGAGTCTTCCAAGAGGCCATGTTCCACTTCCATGTTTGTTGGAGGGTAACCACTCAAAGCACCAAGAAAGTCACCAAAACCACAGCAGCTCCAAGCTTTGCTTAGCTGTTTGCCCGAAAATGCCTCCTTCCAAAACCTCATGCCGGGCCGCCCCCCGCTGACAGAGCTCGAGACGTGACCAGACAGGGGGCAAAAGCGGTCGGTCCAATCCGATCCGTGCGACCGACCGACCGACCTGTCGTCCGACCGGTCCGACCGGTCGGTCCACCCGGGTGCGAGTTCGACTCGGTTCCGACCCGAAGACCAAACAGGTGGGGAACTCACTCCAGGTCCAGACTTCAGGGAGTGTTGGGATGTGTAAGTCCCGACTGATTCAGGTCCAAGAGGAGGAGGAGGAATATGAGTTCTGAGAGGCAGCGGATGGCGGATGGCTTGTTCGTCTGCAAATCGACCCAAAAAGGTGCCGTGATGGTCCTTGGTGGGAGGGTGACGGGTGGATCTGACCAAATCCAGGGAGGAGCAGAATCTGTTTCTTTTTATTGATCACTTTGTGAGGTCGAGCAGTGGGCAGAAATGAGATGGAGTCAGAATGGAGTCAGAGTGGAGACACAGCAGGTGCCTAAGATTGCCTAAGAAGCTCAATGACGTATGCCATGATTTAAGCGCTTAAGACTTAAGACATGTGTTGTTTGTTTCTTTTTAACGAGCTTGTTTCCGAGGAGCTCCCCAAGCCGTGTGTGCATTTCAACGTGAAACAAGAATGCCGAAAAAACTGGAGCTGGGTCCCCCCACAGAGGTCGGCAAGCAGCAGTGTAGGTCGAGACTGGCTTCCGAACCTTTGGGCGACGTCGGCGCAGCATCTTTCCAACAAGTGGTCCATTGGACAACCCCAGTGTTTGGCTGGGGTGCTGAAGGACTAGTGGGGAGGGTGGGGAGGGTGGCCGGTCACTTGAAGGCAACGTTGGTGGTTGGCCCAAAAACCTGGTCACGTTGGGTGAAACTCTTGGCGCCAAGGCAGTCCCCAACTGCCGTGGGGGGTTTTCCCAAGTGTGAAGCGGGAAGCGGGGTTGGGGGCGCGTGCCTGAGGTTTGACTACGTCTTCGAGACCAGGGCAAAGGAGTGAGATGGAGTGACCAAGTGACGATCCAAAGTGGTCCTTTTGATTGGTCGTGCCAGCTGCAGGAGAAAGGAGGCACTAGAGGACAGGTCAACCCATAGGCATAGCCGCCATGGCCCTGGCGCAAACTGGAGAAACCTATCGCCTAGACCTAGGAGCAAAGATCAACCATTGACTTCTTTTTTTAGTAAGTTACAAGACCAGGTCGACGACAAAATGGCTTTCATGTGATGGCTTATTTGAAGACTATAGTGTGCAATCAAACATGGTACTCGTACCATATAAATCCCATGGAAACCAAAAAGAGAACAGAATCAATCTGCGGGCCTCCCAAGGTATTTCCATTGGAGCATATTGGAGCCACATCTGCGTCCAACTGGAAGATGTTGGTCGTTTCCTTGTTGACCCTTGGCTCATGAGCTTCTCACAAAGCCATGGTCTAGTAGCCAAAGCTAGCCTCAGATTGCCACTGTGCGGCAGGGCATGCCCAATCAAGATGTGCAGAGAGGACCCAAATTCAGGGGAGTCAAGGCAGATTTGTGCTTGGGTATGTTTATTGATCGAGCCACTGCGTGACAGTGTCTAGTCTTTGTAGCTATAGAGTCCAAAACCTGTGAGGTGAGATTGTCAGAGGAACAGGGGCGATGTCTTGAACAGATGACGTGGTTCGGAGAGATTATTGAAATCTTTTCCTTCAAGACGGTTGTTCCATGTCAATCTTCTGTTTGCTTTGCCTTGACCAATTGGCACCTTCTGGGAAGGGGGATGCTTCCCAAAGGCTGGATGATGTGGCGTGGGTGGGTGGAACCTGCTGCCGGAGATCCACAGATTTTCTGCCAATCTTTGGCAACCTTATTGACCACGCAAGGGCGCGAAGAAGGAGCGAAAAGGGCACGATGGCGTTGTTGACTCTGGATGTTTTGGGCGTGTGGCGGATGTTGTGGGCTGTTGAGAGGACTGAACAAATGTAATTATAAGGTGTATACAGGGTGTATATATGCATATAGTATATAATATATATATATATATTGTAAACCACAAATATATATATATATATACATATAATGTCAACGTCGGATTAATCAACGGGCCCCCCCCCCCCTAGAAGGTCAACAAGGTCAACAAGGTCTGAGATTGGAGGTTTTGGAGATCACATCCCCCTAATAGTGGGGATGACCTGATGATGACAGGAGGAGGAGATGAGATGGGATGGAATGATGAGATCCATGAGAGCCCAAATACTAATTCCCTTTCATAAAACTAATTAAACACATATATATATTTGAATAATTATATTTTTCCTGGCAGGACAGGGGGTTGACTAATAGGGGGGGGGTTCAGCCAAGAAAAAAAATTATTAGAGGGTGGTGATTGTGGAAATTAGTAGTTCAAATTAGTTTATTATTGGGGCCTGAACGCTGGGTAGACTAATAGGGGGGGGTTCCCGGGTTCCCTAATCCTAGGTTGACATTACCTTAAAATCCTTACAATTCCCAAGACCATGTTGGGCACCATTGATTCATGTTCAGAATTCCCAGGGTATATACTGTGCGCGTCACACTCAAACATGTTGCCACTGTGTTGCCTGACGCAGCCCGCGAATTATTGGAATGGAATAATCAGTCCAGATTTCAGACCCCATGGTGGTTGCACTTGGTCCCAAAAGCAGGGCCCAAAATCTGGCAGGGCAGTAGCTTTCGGAAGAATGAAGGGACGGCCCTGCTTTGGTGCCCGGAAAGTAGATCCAGTTTTGGTGCTAAAAGTTTAACTAAGAGCCCGTTTGGTAGACCATGAAGCCGCTCAAGTGCAACGGAATAGTTGGACCACCCTGGGGTTTGGAATGTTAATTCTTTCTGCGTCGGGCCAAAGGGTTGAGGCAGTCAGTTATTGGTGTGTTTTCTCGGCCTCACTTTTGAGTATCACAGACCGTGCGGGACCACAATGCGCGGGCCTGAAATTTGTGTGGTTTAGTAATGACTATATATTGACTTTCTTCAAGGCCTGTGACGGCTGTGCGTAGGCGTAGAGACACTAGCTGCCCAAACGATTTGTGTGGATAGTGCGCGTGGCGGACGCACTGCTGAGCGGAAAGCGGCGACGGCTGATGATTCTGATGCTCCCGCAAGTCCCCTTCCCCCTTTCAAGAAGGGGTCTTTAATGTGGATGTGACTACCTGGTTTACCCGGCATCCGCGATCTACTTGTTCTGTGTCCGTGATTTGTGGCTATTGAACTCCTATACAAAAAAACCGCCCGAAATCCATGCGCCGCGCTCTTATTTCTACCTCAATCCTCCGGCTGTGCCCTATTTCAGCCTCTGGCAGAAACATCAAAAATTTCTGCCTCTCACCTTGGTTTCAGCCTCTTAAACCAAAAACTGCCTCTAGCAATTTTGGCTCTTTCCATGTTTAGGCCACATGTATGAGGGACTGCATATGCAACCAAATCTTCTTCAATGCATGGTTTGCGTGCTGTTTCCCAAGATTGAACGTAAGGAAAGCAAAACCCCAACCATCCGGAGGTCCAGCAATGCCAAACCAAACAAGAAGAAATCAACATATTAATCCATGGAATCCATTGACCAGTTCTTCCTCGATCGATGCCCCCATGCCCTCATGCCCGACGCAAGCCAGTTGACCGCGCCTCGGATGCAACCGGACGAAGAGTGAGAGAGGAGACGGAAACAAGAATGGAGAGGGATGACAAAGATAGGAGATAAACAATTAAGAGATGGAACAAATATACGAGTGACACGCACGCACACCCACACACACACACAAATGCTGACTTTTCTCCAAGACAGCTGCAACAGTCACAGATTTCGAGCCCTTTTATGGCGCAAGATCTGCATGCGTGCCTTCACCTTGTATGCCAACAGGGTGTTGGACACACAATTCTTGGCGCTGACCCTGCGCGATTGACGCGCCAGGCGTCCAATGTAATCTTCTGCCATGGAACAATCGAAAGTGCATGGGTTCAACACATACTCATTCCCATTTGACCTTTGTATGAAATCAGCAATGTGATCCAGAGCATGCGCTTTTGGCACCATGCTGTACAATGTGTAGCGCTTGTTTTGAGCAATCCGTGCAAGGTGACCATATGCGGAGAGAAAGGTTTTGATGCTTCGGTGAATGTTGAAGCGACACTGCCTCCTGAGCCACAGGCCATGGTTGTGTATCTTTTGAAAGCTGAGGCCCCCTTGACACCCACGCAGCATCAGAGTCAGAGTGTTGTCTGCCGGATGGCTGATCAGGGCCAGCCCTGTAAACCATTGCAGCCATCGAAGTAGCAAGATCGTGTCACTCCCCTTGCAGCCAATGTACGGAAAAGATCCCTGAGTAGGCATGTGAAGCTTTTGGATGGAGAAAGACCTGAGGCCAGCTGGTGTCTCCCGGTGGGTGTGGCACCAAAGGGCAAAGCTTGCCCATCCTCTCTCCAATCGCGCCTTCAATGCCCGACTCTCGCTTGCGTCAGTTGTATCGTCGAAGTGTCCTTCATGGGCAAGCATGACAATCGTTGATCCGATGAAATTCCTCGCAATGCCCAACCTGAAGATATGAAATGGGTCCCCCCGGAACCACATGCTCGCTTTGCCAGAATTCCAGGGCTCGAAAGCTATTGGTGCAAATGGAGGTATTGCTGTCCATGGTACCTCGATGTGCACTGTTCTTTTCCATTGTGCCCTTGCTGTGAAGTCTTCAAACGGGTACTGGGGCAGCCCTGCCTTGCAATCTGAACAGCAAGCTATCTGATTCACGTGGCCAACATTCTGATAGCTTCTGCTCAACATGCCACACTTGGCAACGTACTCCAAATCGCCTTTGAACCCGAGCAATGCAAATTTGTATGTGCCTTCAGGTCGTTTCACACCATCGGTGCACAACTGTCTCAGGTCTTCCGAAATACAATGCAAAATCGACAGAAGCAAACCTGGAGTGCTTTGGTACTTTTTGCTTGGAAAGGCAGCTGCACAGAAGTGTGTTAGGTAGGAATGGTTCTTGGAATTCAGCCTTTGTGCCATTGGATCATTGCAATCCCTTGCGGAATGTTTCTCTTGAGCACAGCACGTACAAACAAATGGGTCCATAGCAGTGTCAAGACCCAAGACTGGCTGCACGCTGATGCACTCAATTGGTTGGTTCTTCAATGAGCGCCCCGCATCCCCATGTATGATGAGAGGTATCACATACCTATAGTCAACATCAGCGTCCTGAAACAGCAGATGCGATGGGTGTTCCACTCTGTAGGTCCTCCAAAAGCTGTGCAGCAACTGCTGCGCTTTAGGGCCAGGATTCAAACCACCAAGGCAAATCCAAGGATAATGTTCCAGCAAGTGTGCAAACATGTGGGTGGGCTTCAAATACGGAAGAAGGGCAACAGTTCCGTCTTCTTGAAACTGATGGTATGAAATCGGAACTTTCCTCAAACTGCACAGGACAAACAACTGCAGAATAGATTATTATTTACAGCACCCTGGAAAGAGCTAGAAACAAATAAAAATGCCAAAGCACCGCCGTGACTCAGCGCAAAGCCAAAGCGCTTTACGGTTCGCTTGTACTGTCTAGATGCATTCTTCGCAGACCGTCCCAGCATCGATATTGTAGAGGGATGCAGTGCCTCGTGTGGGTCGCATTGCAGCTCAGCCTGCAAAGCCTCCCCGTGCTTCTGAAGTGTTTGGGCAGGAGCCTGAGGCACAACATGGACAACGTCTAAAAGAAGGAGGCAGAGTCTTAAGATGAGGGCATCCCACCTTTAAACAAATTGGGAACTCACTCTGAAAACATTTGCGCAAATTCATGTGAGCAGCTCCATTTGCTATAGTTTCCACCGCATGATGGAGAAGAGGTCCAGGTGTAAGTGAGGAACTCGATGCACCTGGCTCATGCCGACGCAGCGATACTATAGTCAGTTTGAGGTGCCTTGCGCCCAGTCTCTATCGATCCCAATTCTGATCTAAACAATGGACATTGACGCGTTCAACGGGACCCTGGCTTTTGGCATACACATGCAATGCACAAAGTAGCGCTCACCAGAACTCACAGCTCCCTTTTGCCACCCTGTGATTTGCAATATAGTCTTGATGAAAGATCGGATTGAGTGGATGTTATCACCCACCCCGCAAGGCTTTTCAAGCATTGCTCAATGCCCCAAGCAGAAATATGATTAATGCAGTTGCTTTGGATGCTTGCCCCCACACGACTATGGTCTTGGGTTTGAACCTCTCAACATCAATCCCAATTATTGCAAACACACGGGTCCGTGTGGGAAGAGCTTCACCCGCAACGCCCGAAAAACAAGTCACAAACAGTTCATTTCCCACCCCTAGATTTTTTGGGCTCCTGCTTAACGACCTGCCTTTTGGCAGTCCTAGCAGGGGGGCATTCACCTTCCTCACGCTCACGCTTTTCTTTCTTTTGCTTCGACTTGATTTGAGAGATAAACGGCCTCACCAACTAATAAATATGATCGTTTTGAAACACATGCACAAACACATGCATACACAAAACGGAAACAAATCGGCGCAGACGTTGGGCGCCCTGCTGTGAGCGAGTGGTAAGGTTGAGGGCCTCCGCGCACCTCAGAGAAATCGTTGACAGAACCATGGCGGAAGCAGAAGCTGGGAAGGAAGTGGATGCAGGATCATATCATGATTGACCCCCCAAAAAGGCAGCTATCAAACTCTTGGCCCCTATACCAACCAAACACGGATTACCAACATAACGGAGGACACACAAGGAAGAATGTCATGAAAGTGGGTCGGGCATAGCCTGGTTCTTTTTGGATGTAGAATAATGTAGCCAACACAGCGGCATCCAACATAGGGAATCCGTTATCACCGATGGACCGATGTCTTTTCTTCTCTTGGTACTTCCGGTGGGATCTGGTGGGTGCCTTCCTGCTGTTGGTGAGTGGACACATGAAAAGCAAACATAAGCTAGAACCTCTATTGCACTCAACCCTCATCACTACCAATGGCTTTGGAGGTACTCATTGCGGGGCTGGGCCGGAGCAAACGCAATAGGTGTTTGGGGTTGGAACGACTGCAAACTGGAGTGTCTGAAATTGACTGGAACCCTCCTCACCATCTTCCGCTCAACATTTTTCCTGTTTGGTGCGCTTATTAAATTGGACTTTCACACCTGGAATGAGGCCAAAGCTTGGGGAGAAGGCTTGAAGGGGATTTGAAATCATGCAGTCCAAACCAGCCAAGCGTTGCATAGCTACCTCAAAAGGTTGGAGACACCAAAGGAATCACACCAGTTTGTGGTCTGACAAAACGATGCAAAACCAAGCGACCCGTAAGACTCCTTAAGGGTCCCTTCGTTTCAGAAGCGTCCCTCAGGATGGCCGAATCACCTTGCTGGAGATCCAGCGTGGCTTCAACGACGCTTGTTTGGGTCATGCCAGCCATTGCTTGTTTTATACAATGGCTTTGCAACAAAATGGGCATCAAAAGGAAGCGCATTGAAGCCAAACAAAGCAAATCAGAAAACATGTTTATGGGTTTCTTCTGTGTAGTCCAGCTTGGGCATATCTTAGGGAAGGGATAGGTGATGGGTGAGGAAACTGATTCTATTGCAGGGGAGCCCGCAACTAGCTGGCCTGAAAAAGAACCTTTCCATGTAGAGCACCGTGTAGTGCAGAAAGCATTGTCCTGCATACAAACGACCCAGTCGTTTCCTTCCGGAAAGAAGGTAATATTGTAAACTGAGGCACTGTTTTCGAGCTTCTTTGAAGTCAGCCTCGAGCTTGTCCTGATGCCTCAATTCAACATATACTTTCTGAGGGTACAACAGTTTGACAGTTTGGCAGAACAAACATGTGTCTAACGTTTGGTTGAGGCACTCTTTCTTGTAGCCCGCCAAAATACCCTCGGTGCTGGTAGTAGTGACCCTTTCCGTCACTGCCTGCAAGTTCTTCTCAATCTCCCGGGCCCGATCAAGCAACCTGAGCAGGAGGCATGAGGTTCTTGCTATGGCTCTTTGTATTCAGTGCAGAAAGCTGAACACATCCATCGGTTTGGTTATGTTGTCACTAAGTTACTGCCTCAGGTTATCAGATAGATCCTCAACGGACTCCAACACCTCCATCATGGATTGGATCTTGACGCCCCACTTGGAAAGACACGTCAACACGCGGGGGATGTAAGAGCTTGCCAAAGCATCAGCGTCGTCCATGACCGGAAAGTTCAAGAGCTTCAAGGTCTTGTGCTGGTTGTCAGTTCCATCAGCTTCAATTAGAATCGTAGGGTCTGACAGGAGCCACCCCGCACGCTGACTATGTAAAAAACAAACAAGGGAGCCCTGCCTGTTGTGTCTTCAGGAAGATCCATGTTTGAAGGCATGGTGTCATGGCCTTCAGCCTCTTTCCTGAAGTCCTCTTCGCCCATGGACTCATCCTCTTCTAGGATTTGCCGTTTCTTTTTCCTTAATTCATTGTCACACACCCCAGTGCAAATCGCTTGGAAATATGAAAGTTGTTTGGGATATGCTGTTGGTTGTTCTTTCAAGATCTTTCAGGTATAATATATAACCCAATCACAGCTTGGGGTCAAAGTCTTGCCATGCAAAGAACTCTCAACCCAGTAGAGCTTGATGTGCTTCTCGTATTTGTCTCTCCTAAGGATCAAGGCGAGATTGGCCATGATCATTGGTGACAAGCAGGAAAGCAGAATGGCTGCAGACCAGGAACCGAATCAACTTCTTGGGATCTCGGGCGCATTCTTGTTTGACCCCTGCAATCCGTGGCCTTGTGCGCAACATGTGCAATAAACAACTGAAAAACATCTAGCGCATCAGCTTTGTTAAGTGTGGTTTGGTAGGATGACAAAAGTTCTTGCTTAGTCACTCCGAAAACTTATCGAGTCTCATGTCTTCTTCCGACATGAAGCAACCATTCACCCATAGATCTTGCTCCTCAATGAATTGCACCTTCTTCTTGCACTTCTTCATGAACGTGTCCTGCACCGATCTATCATTCTCATGTCCAAACACAATTGCCATGCCAAGGAAAAGGATCAGTGGGTTAAGAGTCCTTGTCCCCATTACTTTTTTTCCAAAGCTTCAGAATGGAATCGCGACCCCCATCAGCTAGATCATTCCATTGCTCAAGAATCTCTTTGGGGACTAGAAGGCTACCATCAGCACGCGGTGTCATCATACGCCGCAACTTCTTCATCTCGTTTGGAGTGACCGGAGCTTCCCCACTTGCAGCCTCAGAGTACTGACTTAACGGGTGCAATACAGCTCACGAGAACTGCAATCAAACGCAAAGCTGAGGATTCATATGGTGGCCAAGAGGCTGTGCAAGCTTTGGGGTCTGCTGCATCCACTGGTTTGGGCGCTTCTCCACCAACAGGCTCCTCGCCGCAATGGGGTCGATGTATTTTACATGTGATTCATGCAGCGTGGTAACACAACATTTCTTTAGTAAAAGCGCACTGGCTTGTTGAAACAATCGATGTGTTGGCACTTTGTCAAAGAACAAATTGAAAGAAGGAAGCAGATTCACACACTATATCATACCCTAGGCTCTCACAGGGTTGTCTCCATCCCAGCCCACCCAAGACCCTAGCCTGCTCCATGGCCTCAATGTCTTGGAAGGGGCTCGAGACCGAAGTGAGCTCCATTGCCTTGGAATAGGTGATGTTCTGCTCCAAAACATATATTGCAGAAACCTATGTCATTTGCAACACTTCCCTCAGTATTTGCAAGCTAAGCTGCCAAAGCAGCATAAGCAGGGTCACCGAGATGGGATATAAATTCAAGCATAGGATCAATAGAGTCCACAACCTGACATTCAGAATGCAAGAGGTATACGCACGTGCTACGTTGGAATTGGCAAAATATGGAATTGGAAACAAAAGGTTCAATGATAAGGGACCATATAGTCATCTTGAGTAAATGCAGAAGGATCATCATGATAAGAATCCTCAACCTCTATTGGGTTTACCTCCTCACTGGCGGGTTCTGACCCGGCAGGTGGTTCAACAGGTGGTTCAACAGGTTGGGCAAGCTCAATATCAGCAGGAACGGTTTCCTCTTCTGGTCCAGCATCACCTGAATTTACCAGTGCGCGGACTGGTGTAGGGATAGGTGCCACAGGCACAGCCATAGCTGCGTTGCGTGGCTTGTCCTGGACCACAATTGGCGGGGCAAGCTCACCCCAGGCAGGCACAAGTTCATGTCAAGGACTGATTTCTAAGCTCACAAAACACAACAAGCCTGCAACAATGTCTCCAACTCGGCCAGTTCCCTCTGCAAGTCTTCATCGCTCTTGTCGTTTAAGGTATCCATACCTGTTTCCTCATTGACCAAGTCAACTCCCGCCATCAAAGTCCCTGTTGAGAACACACGGGAGGGAAGATCCATGCGCTCTATGACACCGCCCACGGAAACAAAATAGCGTTTCCTGGCCGTTTGATCAAAAAGCAACAACCAGACCATTCATTCCAATTGGATATATGCACAAATTGCTAGAGTGGTGTTTCCCGTAGATTTCATATGAAAACCAAACACCTTCTCACCCATGTGTTTTTCATATGAAACCCCTTCCATGGTATGGTCCAAAGTGGCACCGGCCAAAACCGCCTCTAACCCGGGCAAAACCGCCGCTAACCCGGGCAAAACCGCCTCCCTACTTTTGTGTTTTCATATGCAAACTTGTTTGTTATATCTTTCATATGAAAACCGTTCATGCTTCACATATGGTTCACCAGCTCCTTTTTCATATGAAAACGGTTGTTTTCTTCACATATGCACTTTTCATATGAAACTCTACTTGTTACCCACACTAGGCCTATAGACAGAGAAGGCCTTCCATGACTATCTCATAGACTGATCATGTCTCGCTGAGAAATCATTTTCTTTGGTGGGCTGCATGAGTGATTTGCTCACATGAAGCCATGAAGCCTCAGCAATTGACGCATGCCCGAATTACTCAGAACACCTCCAGGTTCATGAATGCAGGTGGGACTCTGCACTCATATCCCAACTACTTCCAACTCATTAATGGATGCCCCACACCCACTCGGAAACACTGGAGGCTTTCGCCAGCGCCGGAGACTTTGAGAAAGTCTTCGAATTAAGGCAGGAAAAGCTTGGGAGCGCCTGCCGTTCAAATCTTTGTGGGCAAGACATCCCGGAAGCCAGGTGGAATGACCAGGCGCTTGGAACCCCTGGCATATTTCACGACCTCTCGTAAATCGGCCTCTTCATCCCAGAGAGTTGATTCAGCGCACCATTCCATAGCACCAAAAAGGTCACAAATAGATCCCTGTGGCACCTGGGTTGTCGCTTTCACGTTGTTTGGAGCGTTTTCTGTTTTCAATGACAGACATGGCAAAGGCTACCCATTCCAAGACAGTAACACATGACATTCGAGTTCCCAAAAAAAGCGATGAGCACCTTGACAGGTAGTTTGCAGGGAGGAGCTGCACGGATCTTTGGCACCATTTTAACAAGTTTCGCGGCAAACTTGTACGTGTATTGCCTGGTTCTTGGCAGTGAGTCGTGTGTATGAGTCAACTAAAGCCCTTTGAGAACCACAAAAGCACAAAAGCTACAATATGGCGTCCGGTTTTGTATTGCTGGGAAAACATGTGAAAACAAACGGAGACGCAATGATTTCTGGAAAGGTGCTGGCTTTTCTTCAAGTTGGAATTACCTTTGAAGCGTTGTTTGCCTCTAGCATCTTTGTAGGTTGTCGTTGTTTTTTCCGAGGTCTCTTTCTCCTCTGCAGTCAAAGGCCCAAGGTCCAAAGCACCAATCAAACTTGAAATGCTCCAGATCCAGGTTCGTTTCCAGGACATCGATGAATATTTCCGCATCCAAAAGGCAGATTTAAATGTCTTAGCAGGGGATTGGGCAAGCTCATCTTAGGCTTGGTTTCAAAGACACCCACAGTAAATAGCTTGCAGCTAAGGGTCAGGGATACCAAGAGAAAGGAGTCGTTCAGCAAACCAAATGTATCGAGGGTGTAGGGCGACCAAACTATTCATGGGGTTCTCCATCATGAAGGTTCCACCAGCTATCACCACCAGCCACATAAGAAGGACTGTCCTGATTATGTCTGACCATTTTGCAGGGTAAGCTCTGAAATCTATATACACGCATCAGAACAAGTGACCCTAGCTTCAGAGGCAACAAAGGCCTAACCTTTGTTGGCAATGTGACCCAAGCATCCGGCTGGTGAGCTTATTAGAACGCCTCACCGCAGGAAAGTCCTCATTCCCCAGTGGTGTGAGAATGCTGCGGGATGTGCTGGCTCTGTTGACAGGCACCCAACTGCTGCAAACAATGGCAAAGAAAGCTACCAGGCCCTCAAACTCTCCAGAGAGTACCAAGTGAATGCACAGTCTTAGCCAGCAGAAATGTGATTTGTGTGGGTTCTTAGTTACTGCTATACACGTGTAGCCAAAAATCAAATCGTTTCAAACAAACAAGTTGTAGCCCAGTAGCATCAGGCCAGCATTACTATTCAAATCCATTGGTGGCCTGGATCCCCGTTCTTTCCCCAAAGACTTCCCATACTCAATGTCAATGGCCGCAGCTTTAAACCCAGCAAATTTGGCCATGGCAGCAACGCGGCCCACACCGGCAAAGTATTCCAACACTTGATACGGTGGACCATCTCTTCCGGGTAGATCTAGCCACCAAGTCAGGAGCACCAGTAGAACCACGACCTCGGGATTCAAGATCTGGTTTTCTTTTAAACTCGCACACCAAAAATAGGAGTAACGCATCGACCGAGTTAGTTACACCATGGCCACCATACATTTGACATCCACCCGCAGAAGCTCAGGATTCAACTACATTGCCTATACCGACATCAAGCTTCTCACTAGAATTCCTTCTCAGGCGCCTTCGGGGTCTTCAGCGCAATGAGCCGCTTGACAAAGATGTCGAACTGTGTTGGCGTCATAGCTCTTTGGTTCGTTGACAAAATTGTGGCTTAATGGAAGATATATGTCCTTCAGAGACTTCCACTGTTTTGTGTAAAACATGCTTGCATGCGTATGCGCAGCTTCCCATGATTTCGGGGCAAGCGGAAAGCCACTGACTGCTGCACAGCATTGCACAGCTCACGCACACATGCACTACAACCATGAAGGGCCTGCGCCCTTGTTTCTACAGTTGATGTCTCTAGTGACTAGTGACCTAAGGGCCTCAGGGTCTCCTCACAAGAACTCCCAAACCCTAACAGGCCAGCGCTACTTGCCAACTCTCTGTGCACACCAAACTTTGCCAGGTTGATGCAGCCCCTCCGCAAGCCATACAGCTTTGGCGCCATCGCCTGGCCCAGGCAATTGTCGGGGTGACTGGGAAGGATTGGGATGGTAGGGCCCTACGCTTGAGAAATGGGGAAACCGTTTAACAACGCTCCCAACTCGCAGCCGTGAATTGCAGTCCGGGTTGTTCTTTATGTTTCGTTTTTCTTCCTGTCAGTGCTGCCACTGTAGAACTTCATTGGGTGACCCTCAAAGAAGAATACAATTTGATTTGATGACTTCATGCTCCATCCGCCACCTCTTGATTTCCCCCCTCGGCCCTAGCCAAGCATATGCGTCAAAGTAACACACATGCATGCAGCTAAAATCAAATTGAATGATCACATGGATCCGCTGTCTTTCCAGCCCCTCCATGCCTCAATGATCGCACACTTCCAGTGAGACACTCATACCACCGGCACATACATCATATAGAGGGTATGTGAAAAGGTGGTCCCAGCCTAGCTTTTTTGAGACTACAGTGTTTGTTTAATGGTGCAAAAAAGATGGTAAGAATGCCACATGCTACAGCCGATCTGTACACCCAGAGATTCAGTTCAACATCTCTATCAAGCAAGCCTCTTCCAGGAAGGGTTTGAGCTCAGCGTTGGTAATGCCTTTGAATTTCTCCAACAGGGCATCCGAGTCTCCTGATGGGTCCTTGTTCTTTTGGTAGTTGGCCTTTTCAAAGGCAGCGGTGCACCACTCCCACCACTCAACCTTGCATGGTTTAGAATGGAACACCTCTACACCTTATAAGGATAACACTGGCTATGGTAACTGCCCACCTAGCAAAGCAAATTCGAAGACCACAAATTGTAATCACAACCCCTATCAAACAGCCACGCCGAAAGGAGAACACTAGTTTCAAAACCTTGCCTCTACAGGAGAAGTCTTGAAACCCACCTCCTCGAGAATTGGCTTGATAGCGCTCTCAAACACGTCCCGAACAGCAAGCCATCTCGCCTTTGCTGGCGATGTTTTGGGGCACGGGCGGCGCGCAAAGCTCTTCAAGGCGTTCCGAGGCGCAGCATCAGCACCAGTTGGCTCTTGCTGTTGACATTGCTCCTCAATGCCACCACGCTTGTCCTTGTCCTCCGCGTCAACCGTGGACTGCTTCTTGATGTTCTGGTCCTGGGCCGTCCAATGTTTTTCAAAGTCTTCTATACCTTGTGTTGAAACAGGTCCCCAAACAACTTTGTCATCATCCATGCCCTCCTCTGCCACCGCTGGAAGCGCCTCCGCCTTTCGCTTCGCCTGACGCTTGGGCTTTGGGGCCTTGGGCTGTTCCTCCTGCTCCTCGGTCTCCTCGGCCTTGATCTCCAAATCCTCAGCATCAGAGCACAGGTTGACCATCTCAGCATCCGCCTTCTCACACGCATGCCCTCGACCTGGTCGACCACGACGCTTGGCACATGCCCTCTTGGCCTGAGCCTTGGCTTTGGACTTAGCCTTTGCCTTGGCTTTCGCCTTGGGTTTTACCTCCTTCTTCAACTCAAATTGGCTTTTCCTGCTCACTGGCTCGGGTTCTGGAAGGTCTTCACCATCTTCTGCTCCAAACTGACCACTCTCTTCAGCCTTTGAAGAGCTTGGAGCCTCAGACTCAGTGACAGCGGAAGGCGCACCAGCATGGCCAGAGCTGGCTTGCTTGGCACAAACTGAAGCTTCTTCCTGTTCTTCACACGGGTCAGGGACCTCAGCACAAGGCATTGCATCATCAGAGTCAGCAGCAATGGCTTCGAGTGGGGCACCGGAATGACGTTCTTCGCCCTCAGCAATGGCAGAAGGTGCCAATGGTTCATCATCCACAATGGCAGTAGAACCCGGCTGGGAATGGGCAAGTGGATCAAAGACTTCATTTCCAATCACAGGCTCTGCTGACATTGAAAGAACTTCAGCCTCGGCATTGCCCTGAACAGAAGCAGAGCTCTCCAAATCCTCACTACTAGCATGTCCGGAATCCTTGTTGAAGAAGTCATACGGATCCTCAAGGTCAGAGCCAGGCGCAGGCAAGCTCTCCGCAATGTCCATGGATGGCTTCTCATCAAGTTGCTCACATTCCACCGGCGGCTGGCCAGCAATGATCCGCCCTGCAACTGACATATGGCCACCTTGCAAAGGCTCAGCTTCGCCTAGGGCAGAGGTCTATTTGAACATCCATGAAACTGTGTGCACCCCTTTGGTTTTAAACACCCATGCGCTCGTGAGCCCCCCCACGCACAAACTTAAGACTATTTGAGCCAGCCAGCCTGCTGCATCAGCCCGCCCAAACTCTGTCTGCAAGGAGCGTTGCAGCACATGGTCGTCAGTCTCCTCAAAGCGCTTGACAGGTGGCAGTGCTGGTGGCTGGTATGACTCCGCCAAAGCTTTGAAAGACACTGCATCCAGCGGCTGTGTGTCGGCAGTATCGCCCACAGCTTTGGCAGCAGCCCTCTTGGCAAGAAGACACCTGCAGCTCAATACTTCCCCAGTGGCAATGCCACATGCGGCCCACTATTTTCTCTATGTTCTCAAAAGGCAAAATCTTGTAAGAGACTCAAACAAGAAACCGTACTTTTTTCGCCCTCTCCATCATCTCAGCAACTGAGAGCCCAGAAGTCACAGGCGGTTGAGCCAGCCCTTCCTCTGCTTGTTTCTGAGGTGTTTCAAGAGAACTCACTGGCTCCATCATGACCAGTTGGCAGTCGCTATCATCATGGTTGAGCGAGGCATCTTCCACTTTCAGCTGGCTCTTCACCTGATGGGGGACTTCGCCTAGCCATTGTGAACCATACGCCCTGAAAACCCAACAGGTTTTGCACATAATTACTTTTGGGAGGTGCCATGTTGAAGGGGTCCCTTGTGAGGTGTCCATGAACACACAGCCAAACACATCATAAGGCCGCCCATCCCCTGCAAACGCTTCTTTGAAGCCAGCCCAAGAGAAAATTCAACATGTTAAGTTGATCGATGTTTGCTTGTTTGACACTCCCCACCTTTGAGTTTTTCCCAGGACTGGCCATGCCATAAGGATCCGACTTCACAGTCATGAAAGCACTGAAATCACTCTCCTCGTCACCGCTGTCCACAACGAAGATCTCAATGGCATGTTCTGGCTTCAACCTCACACTCCAAAAGGAATAGATCACTTCATAGAAGGGGTTCACGGCAGCATCCTGGGAGTGGGCACGCCAACTTCCAACCCGGACACCATTTTCAAAACTGAAAAGAATGTAAAAGACAAAAAAAACACAAAGACCACATACAAAGGAGCTAAGGCTCTCGTCGGATCGGGCTTGAGGAAGATTCTTTGTCTGCTCCAGATCTCCGAACCCCGTAGCTGAACAACTTCTTCAACCCCCAGGCATCTGCATGGAGAATTGCAGGGTCGTTTGGAAGCTGAAAGATTGCACGTAGAGCTGCGACCTGAACAGGGGCATGTTGCGCATGTTGGCCCCTAACCCTTAAACCTTCAACACATTTTTCACATTAATCAACATCAACCAGTGATAAAATATTATGGACCATGATGGACCCAAATCGGCTGATGTAATATGGTGACATGAATATACGAATAAGCGCAACCAATCCATGGAGCCACATGCACTCCCCACCTCCTTCCTCACTGCATGAACACTAGGACTCTTAGGCCCAGATTGCTTGGGGCACCAATCCTCTGCCAAAATACGAAGGGCGTGGATGTTCAAGGATATGGAAGCCACGGTCGGCTTTCCAACGAGCTCAGGTTTAGGCCACACAACGAGCATACCCTTGGATCGGATCCGGTTTCGGATATGGCGATTGGCCTCCCATTTCTCGGCTAGAGTCACGGGTCCTTCTTCAATGGTCTCCATCTCCAGCCGCAGGTCGCTCGCTGAGTGCTGATCGAGCTGCAATGGATGAAAAACGGCTTCGGCAATCAAAGCTGTTTGTCATCGGCATGCAGCTCACAGTCTTAGAAGGTGGTACATGCACCCACGTCTTCCAGTGGTATACTTATTTTGCCTTTAGGTTAGGAAACATGCCTACTGCAGGGCATAGTTTGCATTGGCACATGCTAACTTTGGCCAGGCTAGCCTGAATGACAAGAATGATCACGAATAGCACCCAGTGGAGACACCTGCCAAGCCGTTGAGTAGTAGCTTGCGAACTTGAGAATCTTGAGCGGAGCATATATCAAATAGTTTTAGAATTATTGTTTCAAAGAAGCGCTTGCAAAGATCTGCTCCACATGATTCTCTCAAAGACATTCCATGGTTTCAGCTTGAGGGAAGAAAAGCAGGCTTGCATCAGGTGAGAGCCCATGCCTCCCAACCTTCATGGAGTCGCTGCTTCACCACGCATGGCGGCCAATAGAGTTTTTGTTTTGTTCAAAAAGCTGGTCCTACAATATCCTATGAAGTGTTCGGTGCGTATTACCACTGTAGTAGTGGTTTGGTTGATGCATGGCTGCAAGCACCCTTTGAAACTTGGGAGTGAAGCAGCGATTGTTCAACCTGACATTAGCTCATGTGGGATTTGGGATCACGTCGAACCAGAGTGGCTGGATGCAGCCTGGCAGGCGGCGAAGAAGGGATGGGATCGGATCGGATCATTCTACCCAATAAAAGGGCCATCAGTGGTCACATTCCGGTTGAAATGTGCTTTTTGCAAATCTTGCCTCTAGGCAAAAATTCATCCTTCTTGATTCCAAAGGCATTTATTTTCTTAAAGGCAAAATAAGTACTACCACTGGAAGACGCAGGTATACGAACTAATTAGGGCGTCCGTGACGCGTGCGTGCTCTCGCGTTCGTGCCGGCCACTGACACAAAGACCATGGCTGTCGGCCGCGCCTGTTTTCCTACCGTGACGTCCAGGGGCCGCGGGCCACCAACGCATGTAAATACCAACGCGAACGAATCGATCCCAGTAGAATGCGCCACGAACGTTCGGCCACTCCGAATTCGATTGGAGACGCCACCAGCGCGTGCATGGCGGCATGGCAAGATGCAGAGGAATTGCGGACCAGCTATGCTTTCCCTAAAGGCACATGGCCCCCGCGCAAGGAAGGGTCCCAGTTTTCTGTCGCCACATTGAACAGTTGCTTTCATTGTGCTGGCCCTCGTCGTTGATGTATTTAAAGAACAGCTCTCCTAAAGCAGGTCACACTGCCACCATGCATCACGTCGTCATCACGCTACGCGTCATAGAGATGCACTCAAATGCTCTCCGGGTCGCTGCAGGGGGTGGAAGGTTGCTGGTTTTTCCTGGGTGGTGGTGAAAAGGACATCAGGGGACAATACCCCAAAAGGACCACAAACGGCCTCTAACACCATGACCTGAAGAGGGGCGCACGGTTCTATCATGTTCTATGTTTTTTTGGGGTGCCTCGTTTGGCATCCAAAAAAGTTCATGGCTTCAATAACCACAGCCCCGCCCTGAAGACAGGATGTCGGTCACCCTTTCGAAGTTTCACAAACATCGTCATTGCGCATAGTGCCACAGTGTCAAGGTGTTTCCAGCAATTCTGAACTCAAGGTCTCAACTCTGCATTTCAAGCAATTTACGTATACCTTGACCTTCCTCCGGGGCGCCCAATGGAGATCCACGAGTAGCGTAGGGTATCCTATAGGAGACCCTGTTTCGAGTACAGGTGCTGGTACAGGTTTCGAGCGGATTCCGACGACAACTGTTCGAGCGGGTCCAAGGCTTGGTCCTTGGCCACGCTCTCCGCACCGGAGATGCTTCAAACTGTGGCCCGGGGCACCTGGCAGTGAGGAGAACACGTTGGCAGAGAGCAGTCCGGTGCAGGAGTTCTGCTGTCAACAGGAGTACTGGCCCTATGTGAAGGGTGAAATTGTATTTTTGGTATTCACATATTCTCCCGTGCATAGGAAATACTGAAAACTTTTAGATTGTCCTTTGCATAAGAAACACTGAAAAATACACACGCTCACAGCGCTGGTTTCTGTACAATTAGAGTGAGCTCAATCTTGCAATGAGTGTATGTGCTGTTTGCTTTGGTTTGAATCTATATTGTCATATTCCAGTGGTTTGTTAGAATGGATGACTTGGTCCTAAGCTGAGTCCTAAGCTGAGTGTTTGGGGTGAAAGGAAGGGCGGCAAATTGCCAATTGCCATACATGACTAGGAGACACGTCTTGTCCAGACTGGCATCGAACCTAGGCCTAGACTGGTGGCCAGACGTTGGGTTCCAAATCCTCAAAGCTATGTTTGGCCAAGTTTTGCACATAGCATAATATATTATAATCACCACTTGGAACTTGAGGCGCAAGTTTCAGGTGGGTACAGTTGTGGTGGGGCAGTGGTGTATTCTACAAGCTACCCACTGCCAGAATGGCCAAAGGAGAACCGGATTTATACAACACTTGAGCGATGCTATGCTTCTATCCACCGACATGTTGCATTTTAGAGCCCAGTTCCACCCCAAATGGTTCAGTACATTTGATATCAGATGTACATCTCAAGCGCTTCACTCTTGCATTCTGTCCACCCAAAACCCATCACCTTCAACCCTTTCGGATCCTCCATCGCCGATCCCGAACCCGTACGACGGATCCCGAACCCCACAACGCCCGGCGAAGAAAGGCCCGGCACGGCGTGGAGCGCGTGGCCGAGTTGGCGCCGCAACACTTGGCCAACATCGCTTGGGCACGGAGCCACGGAAGAAGTGCGTGGCGCCCCCACCCTCCACGGATGGCTTTGAGGTCCCTGGACCCCATAAGACCACCCCCTTTTTGTCTTCACCACTGCCAGGCATGGATGCCCAAGGGCTGGTTTTGGCGAGTCTTCGATGTGTTATTTTTTAGGGGGAGGGGGCCGATTTGGGACTTTGCCCCGTTAGCTAGGTGTGAATTACTCTTGGCGGCCCGGCAGCCCCGCACATCCGGCCCAGGCATGTGCGAAGGTCCAACTGAGTGAAGAAGACTTGTACATCCCCTTAGCCAGGCGAGGTGATGCGTTTTGCGGGGCGAGGTGTAGACCAGCCGTGCAGACCAGCCGTGTTGGAGGGGGATGATTTTTTCTTCTCTTGGAAGACTGCTGTCCTGAACAGATCAAGGGGTTTTCCATGTCCATGTTAGTTTGTTGGTGGCAAGGAAATCGTCTTCCATCCACTTCCATTCGATGTGTTCGTCGGAGAGGCCTATATGTCCAGTCGAGCGCGTTTAGGTGGGTGTTGGGTGCAATCGCCAGAGTCGTTGATTTCCCACCTATGGCAGGACCTCAAAGAATGTACCATGAGATATGTTACAGTATACTGTATCCGCCTGAGGAGTCTTGCCAATGTTTTCTCCCAAGATACCGTAAGAGTTCGTCTTGTGGATGTGCTTGTTGGCCAAACTCGCCCAGCAAACCGATGGATGCAAGCAAACCCGCCCATGGCTGGCTGGAAGCGCTGGCTAGGGAAGGACTGGAAAGGACTCCGTTTGAAATCCATTTGATTGGAATGTGATCGGGAGGCCCAGTTTCCTTACCATGGACTGGGCCCAAGTCCCTGGATTCTAATGCAAATCAAGGCAGGTAAGCTACAGGAGAATACAACTTGGTACAGTATATTGAAGGATCCAGTTCTCCGCATCCTTTCAACCAACGCTTTGACAAGCAGAAGCTTCGACAAATTAGATCATTTACCATTAATTTTTAGTATAATCAAGACTATGGCAAAATTATACTAGGTCACTACTACTCACTACGTAAAGTTTTAGTTGCAGTTCCCACGGCCTACTTCCACGGCCTGCTTCAAGCCGCAGGGCTTCGTGGCAGAAGAGCTTCAAGCCGCAGGAAGCGTTTCTTGGATGCCGTTGGATGACGCCTGGGTTTCGGGCCCGGTCGGTGTTTGGGTCGATTGGATGGTGTGGGTTTGACCAAGGGATGAAGCGGCCGTAGAAATGGTATTGCAGGTCCTATTCCAGGGAATGTTGGCGTCATGCCACATGGAACCTGAAAACCATTATTGTGGAGGAAGCTAGTCTTAAAAAAGAGTATTTTCATGTTCAGCTTCCACCATGCCTATATGATGTTCTTCTCCCCGGCTTCTTGGGTGAATCCCCTAAAGCTACGGGATGATCTGATGGTTTGGCTTCCTGGAAAGCAATTAAGTTGTCATCCAGAAACCTGTAAATCCAGACAGTTTGTTTGGAGGAAACCTCGTATTCAGACCTCACGCGACTTTGTGTTGATCTCAGGGACAGCCAAAGATTCAAGTAGGAGAAACGCTCGTGATCGCAAGATCACGTGACAAACACTCATCTCAAAACAGGTGACACATTGTATGCACCCTAGCCTTCAAAGACCATTATATATATATATAAATGAGAGGTTGACCTGGTTTTGTTGTCAAACATCCTCAGCAAAACAGCCCGGTTGTTCAGTAGACAACCCACCAAATCATGTGGCATTATTCCTGGTGGGCCAGGAATCCTCGAAAAAAAATACCAACAAAACCTGATAGTTTCCAAGCAGAAAAAGGCTTTGCCTCTTTCCTTTATGGACAATCTTGGTTTATGGATCATATAATGTGCATGATGTGACTCAGAAGAATTCATTCTAGGCGCTCTTGACTTCCCCTGAGATTCGAGTGTTTACTCGCCTCCATCGAAGAATCGGTATAAGAAGGCCTCAACTCCCTCCCTCAACTCCCTCCTTCGCTCATGTCCCATCTCCAGGTGCAACCTGCTCTGGGCCTGCAGCCTCAGACCGGGCCGCTTCGGCAGGCGCCTGTTGGCGCCGAAACATGGAGACCCTGAAACCGGTGGGCCCAAAAGACCTTGTTAATTCTTTTTGGGGGTGGCGGTTTGGTAAGTGATTTGGGGATTTTCCCGGTGCCATGGGTGATTTTGTTGGTGAATTCAATGTTTCTGGGCTTTTGTATGTTTTGCCCGGATCCTGGAATTCGCGAATGCAAGAAGCACTGCGACTGGGGATCTCAGGTGGTTCTGTGGATGGATGTTGAGTTTGTTATTGTTTTAAAGAAGGGCTCCAACACGAATTTCTGCATTTTTCTGCAGTTGGACCGGAGCTTTCTGGCTGCAGTTGCTTTAAATGTCCAATTGTCAGCGAACAGGGGTAAACACAGTCTTGAAAGAAGTGCTGATGTGCAAACTGGTCCAAGTGCTGACAGTGTTTCTCTGAGGCCTTTGCCACCTCAACGATGGATGTTGGCGTGGCCCTCAAATATGTATGGCCAAACAAGACTGGTGCAGCCGCCTGGTGGTCATTGTTACAAGTCCCCATTCCAGAACCTCAGCAGTCAGTGGCTTCCCACCTTCGACAAGCCGTAGGGGTCAAGCCATGTGTCTTGAATCAGCCAAATGATGGAATAGCCTTGCTGTTGCTCAGTTGGGAGCTTTTCTTAGGAGCCGCGGGTTTCCATCTCCCATGAAACCAGGAGGCCCCTTAGGAGCGACTATGGGTAGGTGTCCAACCCCGACAGCTATTAGTTGGAGGCTGCTATAGGCAGAAGTCATGTTTCAGACCCGAATCCGCATGCAGTGGAGTCCGTGGAGGATCCCCCGAGATCCGAGCCACCTCGGCCCAGAGCTGCTCCGCACGTGCATGCGGACGGGCGGGTCAGAGCCTGGGGTGGCTCACGCTTCAGGGGAGCATGTGATGGCGAAGACGGTGGCACAGCTGAGCAACCAGTTACAATCGCAGCTGAGCCGCTGCAATCCACAGGACCGAAGGGTCCTGGGTGTTCACCAGTTGAGAATGATGGGATTCCGAGTTTTTGGGTCTGTGGGAATGCTAGAGTGAATAGAAAAAGAAGGGAGAGGGGCACAGAAATGGTCCCTTCAAAAAGGAAACTTGCTACTAAACTATATTTGAACAGCAGCAATTCTGGGGATGATTTGGAGGATGTCGGAGCTTCAGAATTCTAGTCTGCGCCAATCCGACACAGGACCATGCCAACTTCATGTGGTCGATGGTGGCGCTGACTGCCGGGGAGAGGACTTGTTGGGAGCCCTACGGGTCAAAGACTTTATTTTACTTGAGTTGGTCACAAAATCACCACTCCAATGAAGTAAAGGACCAGCTTTGGACCTGCGTCTTGGCGCGATTTTGCCTCTTGATCCACTACTTGTAGTAGAAGAGGGAAGACTGACAGGGAGTGGTGTTTCAACGACTCCGGACTGGTCCCCTTTACTCATCAGAAGGTCTCAGCGGGTCTCGGGGCCTATGACTTGCAGATCACCAGCTTGTCCGAACAATGCGTCGTGCGACTCGCGCCGCCATCTTGACCGCAGTCAGGACGATCTTGACCGCCATCGCCGCGGCGGTGCCAATGCATGGGTTCTTTTTGTTGCGGAAAAAGCAAGGAAAATTGGCAGGTCAATGTGGCGATGGACATGTTTTGTTAGCTGTAGGACTTTGAGTTGCACCCTTTGGGATGATGATTGTCCCATCAAATCATAAGAATATGTAATAAGCAATTTTGCAGCGTGTTTTCTTCTTTTTTGCAGGGGTTGCGTTGATATAGAGTCAAAGATGGATGATGTTACTGCGTACCGAGTTGCGTGCCGGCAATAGACCGTTTGTAGTTGGTGACCTCCTTTCAATGGAGGCTCGCAAGAAGATGGCAGACTTCTCCGCCACGCAGTTGCAACTTGGAAGCAACCATGCTAACTTCCTAAAAACGTCAGAGGATCAGACGACCCAGGGTGCACGTGTATATAACATTGTAGATTTAGTGGAATCGTCATGGGAGTGGAAAACAAACTGTTTGTAGAGTAAAATGGTCATCCAAGGGGCCATGTTCCACTTCCGTGATGTTTCCAGGTATCGTGTATATCGTTACAATTTTAAGCCGCAGCACAAAAGGTGCAGCTAAATCAGGCTCAGGTGTGGCCAAGGAAAACAGCACATTTTCACTTGCACATGACATCACATGACCTTTCCTTGTTGGCAGTTAGCCATGATCTTGTTGCCTAAGGTTACTGCTTGATGGTCCTCAGGTGTGCTACGATGTGCTCCCCAAAAAAGAAACAACTAACCAGCCTTGCTTGATAAGCGATGACCCCCTACTAAGCCACCACAGGTTAAACCATGTTAAACCATGCTTAAAACCCTGTTAAAACCGCAAAAAAGCTGAGGACTAGCAAGGTTCCTCTAGGGAGACTGAAGGTGATGACTTCTGAAGACTCCTCAGCAGATCTCAGGTCTGCCGTCCTTTGGGCAGCCTCCAAAGCAAGCTTGGAGGAGCGGGGAAGCCAAGGGCAGCTTTCGCCATCTAGGCGATTTCTTGAAAGTGGGCTGGTCCAATTTGGGGAATGCGACCAAATGAAACCAACATGACCCTGGCTACTGAGAAAGGGGGCCATGTTTCTGGATTTAGGGGCATCGTTCAGGAGTTTGTGGCCATTTGTCAGGCGCCATCATTGATCGATCGTGTGCCATTGGATGGCATCCTGGAAGATCCTGGAAGCTTCCTTCGATACAGACAATCCCGGCCATCACTCTTGCTTTCATTGGAAACTTTCGCCTTGAACAGGTGGCATGCTTGCAATGTATTTATATTATATCAATTGTAATGGCATGTAATTACGTGGATTCAGAGGATGTCCTCTAGATGGGGGGTCCCCAAACGCGCCATGATCAACCACCGACCATTGGTGTAATTGGTGCCATCGAACCTCCGAAACCAATCATGTGGCCTTTGAGCGACCAAGCATGCCGAAGCGACGAAGGCAACGCTCCCCTAATGGAACTCCAAGAGGTTCCTCAAGGCCCTAGGGCACGAACTTGGACCCACCAGCAAGGCCTCAGAAGGGGTTCATAATTTGGCCCGGCCCTACTCAGTCAGTGGATCAGGCGGAAAAAGGGTGTTTTCCAGCGAAACTGAAGGAGTCAGTCTCTTTTGTTGGGACACCCTTCTGATCAATCAATGTAAGAAACCACTCTTGGCAATGGAAATAAGGTGGCTTGGTTGAGGGTTGAGGGCTTGGCTCAAAGTTCTTAGGTTGATAGACATGACATGCCCATGTTTTGTCTTGGCCAAGACGTTTGCTCACAACAGCTGGGGAAGAGACCCTTGTACTTCCTTCGGGCAGCGCCCCCCCCATTTCACATGACTGTTCAGCCGCAGCCTCACCTGACTGGAGAGCGCCAGTGCGTGGCGATGCGAGGCCCGAGCTGTTCCAAGCAGCCAGCCGCTGGTTACAAGCGGAGACACTCGTCCAAGAAAGGCCCCACGCGGCGACACGGGCGCCGGACATCCGCCCGTGTCGGCGCGTGACGTCGGCGCTGTTTGGAGCCTTCTCAGAAGGTACGACTGGACCCTTCAAACCTACATAACAGTGTCTCCAATCACCGTACCTGAGGTTCGGTACGACTGGATCCGTAGGGATTGGATCAAGCAATGCATCACAGATCGGACCCCTTCAGATCGGCTGTTTGAGGCCCTTCACCGGTGAACCTGGGCACCGTGAACCGGATGTTTGGTGCCCCACCCATTGGAGGGTCCAGGTATGTTCAGGGGGGCCGGATGTTCATCCAGATACTTCGTGGCGAGTTTTTGGAGAGTATAGATGGGACTTCTGAAAAAAATTTGGTGACATCATGTTTGCCCTGCAGATTTCTTGAAGATGTGTTCAGCTAGGTAGGTGTTCAGCTAACTGAGGGTCACCTTAAGTATATGTGTGTATATATGACAATATAATATAGCCTCTCAAAGGGACTGTGGATCTCTATGGCTGTGAAAACAACGAAGGTGCCTACTCAACACCTCTTCTACCGCATGTCAACATGTTGTTGCTTTTGATCTCACCATCCCACCACGCCAGCCACTGTCCCCAAAGCGGATTCTGAGTCTTGATGAAGGCTGAGCGAACTTGGAGTTTGCGGGCATGCTGCTTCGGGTCATGTTCACCCCCCATGCGGGAGGATTTGCCGATATTTATTTTTGTCGAGTGAACAATGGGGGGAACTCAGAATTCTGTATGCTTTTTGTTCTCCACCACTCCCAGAAACTCCGCAAAAAAGGTGGAGATCTTAGACCTGGTTTTGTGTCTCGAAATTTGGAGCTCTCAGGAGCTCTCTTGACTCCCTCGGCCCGGGTCCCCAGAGCGTTTTGGAGCACCCAGCAGTGAGGTGGGTTTTTGGATGTTTTTGTCCAGCATGCCATGGTCTCAAAGGGTCTCAAATCGACCGGAAAAAATACAAGCCCCCTCCAGCGTCTGAACGTTCTTACCTCCGACCTTTGAAGTCCAACGAGCGTTTGGTGAAGTGACATTGGCAGGGATGTTTGCATCGGTCACGGACGGAAGAGCCAGATGAAGAGGTGTTGGATGAGTTGATATGCGAGGACGACAGGTCTGGTAGACGGTCGATTTGCTGGAACTCGGTTTGCCACAGCCTGGCAGTCTGGAGTCCGAAGCTCCTCAGCAAGGCATACCCGCCCGAGAAACAATCCCATGGACCCTGAGACTGGCACCCTGAAAGACGGTGTTCCCAAACCGGTGGTTTTGCAGGTTGCATGTGAGTTTTCGACAGGGTAATGATGGTCTTTGCCACGGACTGGTCATGCCATTTCAGCGAGGAGTTGCATGAATGCTTCGCACCAACTATAGGAGTAGATTCAGAGAGATGGTGCAGCTCCGAATGACTTCACATGGTTCGGTCGCACCATGTACTTGACAAACGGAGTTCGCTCTTTGACGTCGTAGCGCATTTTGGCTTCCAGGATTTCCAGAGCTCGTTCGTGCAGGACTGGATTCCTGACATGGCTCGTCGTATGTTGGCCCCTTGGGCGACTTGGCGACAGGTCGCACGGAGTTGACTTTGTGTGGCCGGGATCTGAAGATTCTGTTTTGTTCAAGAGGAATGTGTAACTCTTAAAGAAAATGGTTGAACTTGCGGCTGGTTTTTCGACGTACGGGATGAAGTACTTGGATGAAGCTGTGTGCGAAACACCTGCTGGGAGGCCTGACTTTTAGAGCTCTGTTCCAAATTCATCATCATTCCCCAGGCGGAACAACCCGACCATTGTAGGTCTCCGCAGGTCTCCAGACAGGCACCCCGACAGGAAGCGCTTAAGCCACCATGTGATGCGTCTCAGGTGGCTTTGGCCTGCTTCTTCGCCATGGGCTACACCTTCCTCGCGCCTCCTAAGGCTGAGATCCCTGTCGCAGCCCTGACTGCGGCCATGGCGCCAGCCGCGGCACAAGCCATGGACATGCCGGAAGTGGGCTCCACTTTGAAGCTAGAAATCAACAGAACCCCGGGGTAGAGCCAAAGGCAAAGATGAAGAAGACCCCTAGCCAGGAATGGTTGATGGTACATGATGGTACTGTCAACTTTGTTAAGATTGAACAAAACTGACCCCTGGCATCAGAGCTAAAGAGTTCATCACAGAGCTAAAGAGTTCATCACAGAGCTAAAGAGTTCTTGGGACTCTGTCAGCATGCGGGTTGTTCTCAGGTCTTGCATCGTTTGGATGGGACTCTGCTGTCAGCCAGGGGCTGCCCCCCCCCACTCAGTGGCATGCAGTGACCCCAGAAGTAGTTGAAGGATGTTCTCAAGACCTCAAAGTCTTCCCCAACAATCCGTGGGGCTGGTATATAAATGAAATGATATGATATGATGGAGAAAGTTTTCCTCACATTGAGCCTTAACAGCATTTTAAAACATTCTTGAAACACACCTTAAACCACTCAAGTGTGGGAAAGTTTTCCAGTCCGAGTGGTTGTGTGGCTTTGGATCTCCTAAAGTGAACCAGTTAGTTGGGGATCTTGTTCTTGTGCTACAAGGACTTTCCCCCCAAAGATTAGATTAGCATGGATGGACCCCCTTGTGACAGAAGGATTCTCACAGAAGACCAGCAACCACCAGAGAAGGTCTAGGGAAAATGGAAAGAAGCAAGGCCTAGAGTCTAGAGGATCAGCCCAGCCCAAGTAGTGGCCGATGGCGGATGGTTTCTATATATACACCATACTGGAGTTATAGCGCAAGACTAGTCGCAAGACTCTATGTCACGAAAGCTAGCATGCTAGCTGAGTTCTTCTTTGCTTTAGCAATGTTGTGGTGGGAGGGGCTGCGTGCCTTAAAGATTGATATATCAAGCTAACCCCCCCCCCCCCCCCCC